AGTGTTTGAAAAATCTGATAGAGTCGACTAGTTAAATAGCAATTTTATAGATAACAATTTTCGAAGTGAAATAATAATGCTGTGTATTTCATGTGCTATATAGTACATATATATTATATATGATACTCAAAATATATGACATACGGATATTATAATTTTTTTTTTTTTTAATTGATATCTCTCAAATTGTATGGTTTGATAGAATTGACTTGTGAATATCACATCGCTTAATTATCCAATGTGTAAATGTTGTTTGTTAACCTATATAAACGTACTTTTTTACTGCAATTTATTTGATTCAGTTTTACTTCACTGTTTACCACACTGTTAGCATTTCATGAGACAAAATAACAGTCTATAAATTTTCTAGTATATAACTGTGGATTCTAAGGTTAAAAATAAAATGATTTTGAAAAATGTATTTACTATACCAGTCAGAGTAATTCGCTCTAATACACCACAAACGACACTAAATCAACTAAACTATTATCAACTATAATAGCATTGTTATAACATTAACACTACAAGAATTACAAACATAAAATGTGTTTTACTTTGAGAGATAAATAATAAATATAAAATTTATAAAATTATTAAAAACACTTAATAAATAATACAATAGTAATAATTATGCAAATATTCCAACCATAGCCTGTATAAATAGAACACAAAACATTGGTAGACCGGGGCTAGTTGTCACATGGGTTGGTTGTCACAAAGTTTATAACTCTGAAACTCTATGGTATTTTAGAATTATATTCATTGTATAAACTTAATATTAACATAATTAATGTATTCATTTTTTTCTCAGCTATGAGCTGATTGCAATCGTATGAAAAATTTTAAAAGAAAAAAGAAAAATTTACGTCTGTGAGTAATTTTTTTCCGCGAATACTTTTAATATTTTCTATTTATACACCATAGTTAAATGTATAGTTTTTAATTTAATACTCGTATATCTAGCATATTAACGTATATATTTACTGCAAAATACTAACTAATAAAGTTAATTTATTATCAAATAGTAGATTAGAATTATTCGTCAAAAATTACGAGGAAATTTTTGTCACATGCATGTGATGGAATTTTTTATTTAATTTATTTGTGACAATGTACTCCATGGTTATGTAACAACAAGCTTCGAAGTAACAAGATCAGGTTATCACAAATTCCATGGTTTTAAAGAAATATAAAAAATATATTATTGTTTGATATTATAGTGTTAAATTGTTTTTTTTTTTCAATATGTTTTCAAGATAGTATTTTTAAAAATGTGACAAACAGCACTTGACCTATACAAAAATAATTGTTATTAAATTTATTTATTCAAAGGTAGGTACATACTATTTATTCCCAAAAGAACAATAAGAATTAAGGATAATGGAATTTATTTTTTACATATGTACCATGATAAAAGTCACCCATTGGGAACACTATCCTAAGTTGATTTTAATTTTCTTTTTCTTTTTTAGCCTTATTGGGGATTCCCAAAAATTATGAGGGTAGCAAGATAAGATAAAAAAAGATTGATATAAGACGGGAGTCTTGAGAAGAATCTTTTATAAAAGGTTACTGCTTTTTCTTAAACGGCTTTGATTTTCAGATCAGTATAATATAACATTAAGTATGAGATATAAGGTGGTGATTCGGCGATTTTTTTAAAAGATATTGTTTTAAAAGTTTTTAATTTTGTCGGTGTTTGATGTTTTAGTATTGCCCCAGATCTGAATAAAATAAATCCATATTGGCTTAAACAAAGATTTATATACTGAGAGTTTTGTATTTAATTTAGTATGCTTGTTTTTGATTATTAGAGTTTTAAGTAAGCTGAGTCATGCATTTAAGGCAAGCCTTTTGATTTTGATGTGACCAAATGAGCCGGAAATCAATAATTAGATTCAAGTATTTAGTCGATTGAAATGTAGGAATTTTAATATTATCTAGAAATACCATAGAATAGGGAGAAATTCGAAGAGTGAATGAAATATGTAATGATTTGGATTGGTTGACTTTAAAATACCAATTTTTATAACAAGCAGCCATGAGATCAAGGTCGTTTTGGAGATTAAAGAGGATTTTTTATGAATTGAAATAATGACCTTGTTGTCTGCGAACTCAGTAACTTTTGTGTTTGGAGAAGGGTGTGTTGATTGTCAGCATAGATATTGCATAATGTTGGAGAGATGACAACACCCTGTGAAAAAAAAAATTAAATAGTAAAAATTATGAAAACTAGCCTTGCCAGTTTCCTCTATTCATATTTATATTTAGATAACTAGTGCGCAAAACGGTTGTTAGCCGCATGTTAGGAGAATAATTAATTTCACTATTAAAATATTATGATAAGATTTAGTACATCATTTAAACTTTAATTACCTATGTTACTTTTACAACTAATACACGCTTTTTGGTATAAATACATAACCTCAGTATTAATGATATTATAATAATACATATGCGTTTTTACATGAAAAATACCAAAAACAATTTAATTTATTATTTATGTATTATTATCCTTTCGTTTGGCTATAGTTTCAAAACACAAATTACGTAGGTATAAGTTTTGAAATAAAAAACAAAAATATTATTTTAAATGAAAATTTAACGTTTATGTACTTATTTACGTTTGTACAGGGTGTTGGAGAATCTGTAGCTTCGGTGAGAGTGGTCACATGGCACAAACTGACTGTACGATCAAAAGCAAATCGAAAATCTACTATTGGTAATAAAGCGGCATTGTTCAAATCTGTTCAGAACAGTAATGCGAATAATGACATTCTGGCAAACGAAAACATCACTGTTACTACGACGTTGTACAACGATAATAGCGACATTAACGACAAGAATGTTTAAAGGCAAAATAATGACAAAACATGCGAGTAGTAATATAATTGTTCTTTTAAAAATATCAGTTTGTACTTATAAACATGTACTCGATAATCTAATATAATCTGTGAAATAACTACAATGCAATGACGATTGTTCATAGATATCATGTTATTCCATCAAAAAGCCACAAGAAAAATAAATAAACTGTATCTGTAAATATCATCTGGTCGTAAATACTGTTTAACGGTATCATAAAAGGTATACAATAATATTTGTTCATTTTGAATTTACACACAATACCTATTAATTTTATAAATAATTATACACTTTTATCATGATATAGTTGGTAAAAATATGGTTTATACAACTTTATTTCACCTATGTTTATCTATTTTTTTGGTTTATTTATAATAATAAGTAAAATGTTCTTTGCAAAATATTGATTTTTGTGTTTGAGTATTTTGTTATAAAATCATTAAAGTTGCAAAAACGATTCTTTTTTATTGTGAATGTAAAATAAATAAATATTATATGTTAAACAAGTAATTTATATTTAATCTCCATGAGATAGTTTAAATTTAAATAATATTGGTGTTATTTTTTATGATCAATGATCATTATACATATAAAAACAATTGTTTACGCGATGAATGTAAATTGTAATATATTTTATTGTTAAATATAGTAAAAATTCAAATATTATAATAAACGTAAACATTGATGATGATTTACAATATTAAAATCACTTAGTATTATGATAACGTGTTTGGTTTAGTGATGTATTTTTTATATAAACACCCCATTAACGTATTGTTGTGTAGTATTTAGTTTTCAAGTAATTATAAATAAGTATAGGTACGAGTATTACAACTAAAGAGATATCAATACAATATTTATAATATGTGGATTGTTTGTTAGCTAAGTATCGCGTAAAATGTTATTGTTTTAGGTTAATCTGATTGTTAAATTAAGAATTATAATATTTAGCTTGAAAATTATGAAAAATAAATTCACAAAGATGATTGATTTAAAATGTTTTGGTTGTATTTATTTATTTTATTTGTATAGAATTTAAATTAATAAATATTAATAAAATACAATGTTATTTATGTGTGCGTGTGTGTGTGTTTGTGAGAGATAGTTAATTATTGAATTTTTATTTTATTGTATAGGGATCCCATGGTTAAATAAATGAAAATTGTTATTATAATTGGATATAATGTTAGACCTATATATTATACTTAACAGAGTTTAATACGGGGTAAAATCATTGACAAAATTTAATTTTTCTCTGGTAATGCTATGAATATTCAACTATAATTAATAAATATGTTTTTTTTATAACATCAAAGACCAAACAAATGCTTCATATCTAAATTCACAATTTTCGAGCGTTTTTCATAAAATTTTTGTCAATAGATTCACCTAGACCTGTAGTGTCATACTGTCATACTTTTTATTATTCTCATAAACATTTTGAATATAGCTGACTAACGAAAAACTCATATTTTTAAATTTATATATTATGGACATTGGTTACTAGAGAATAAAAATGTTAAAGCGATTTGAAAAAATTTTAGACCAATATTATTAATTTGGTCGAAACAACCCAAATGACTGTTATAAATGTGATAAATGTGTAAAGTTCACATTTAACGGAGGTTTAGGAAGAATATATCTACGGAAATATAATTTGTTATCTACAGATAATGCCGATAGGATCAGTTAATATAAAATAATAACAAAGTTAATTTTTTTTTTTTTGTAGTTAGTCGTATTATTATTTAATTTATTTTTGGTACGTTTGGAAATAAAACATTTTGTCATTGATAAAAAAAAGTTTTACATAGTTGTTATTTGTTCAAATTAATAATTTACATAGGTATAACATTATGTCCTTGCGACAGTGACATAAATCGTGTCGCATGTTTAAATGGATCTTATTATTTACAATAGATGTAAGAATTTACTATAGTTTTTGATACACCAAATATAATACTCGACTTGAACGATTTTCTAAGTAATAATTTACGGGATATTATGCGCGTGCTACAGTGCGAACGTTAAAAGACAAATAACTAAGATAAATAATATTTTTGGATGTATATTATTATACCTAATATACCTATATGAAAAATATTTTTGGATGACCGTAGTCGATATAGTAGGGCATGGACGTAAAGTATTATATTATATTATAATTAAATACAGAAAATGTATAAAATATTATAACTTATATCGTCACGGAACTCGATAGGTGTTCAAACAAATGGTTAGACGGTCGACTAACTAGGTCTTCGCTCGTTCTGTCGACAGTGCGAATCGTAGAAGTTGGATATTTGAAAAGTAAGTATTTAAGTCCTTTTTTATGATTCATTTTGAAAAAAAAATTTTGAATTTTACTCGAAATATATGTACTTGTTTTATAATCATATGAAAGTATAATAAAAATATTAAATGGAAAAAATCGTAAGAGATTCAATTAGTTGCATAAGGTAGGTGTTAATAAAGAAAAATAAAAATAAAAACTCTGTTGTTGGAAGTTTAGAACATATGCAATTTTGAAACTTAAATCTCATTTTTACAATTGAAAGCTAGGTTTTAAATCTTGAGATTTTTACAGTAAAAGCTATTTTCAAAACTATACATAATAAACAAAAAAAATCTATCAATTTTGCGATTTTGTAAAAATAAACATGTATGACCTTTTTGACTCAAATGCACTTTCATGTTAAATCTTTTGAAAATTTTCGATCGATATTTAATATTATATCTCTACACAATTAAAATAAAATATTATATATATAAAAAATTCTTACCACAACAAATTTCAGTTTTGAAGAGCTTTCGTGGACAAATAAATATTAAAAACATTTTTGAATTGTATTTATAGTTTATACCTATTGGAATTAAAAATTTCAATATTTCAGAAGTATATTTGATAACTAGATATTTGTATTCATTAGTTTATTATATACTATGATTTTTCCACAGCAATAAATAGTTAAATAAATATCAAGATTCAAGATACCTCAGGAAATTTGAATTTTGTAAATATTGTGTATACTAAAATAATATATATGAAATATGAATATATATTATAAGTATGTAGTACTCAAACTTAATATCGCGAGTATGTTTACATATTCTATATTTACATTACTTAATTTTTATTGTATTATCAGTCATTTGTTGGCGTTATAGACGTGATGAAGCAGCCCGGGCGTTTCGTTCTGACGTCGTTCCAAAAGTTTTGCATCAGATGGAGCGTGCTTTTCGATTCATCTTCGGACCGTCTATCCAGGACCGAAAGGGCGTTGAGGTCTGTTCAGTTTTCGATGATCATGATCACGTCGGTGATGACCATGACTTCGGTGTTGATCGCCGACAACAAAAAAGCGCTCGAATCGTTCACGTACTTCGTGATATGCGTGTTCATGTTGGCCATCATCACGTTCGCTATCCGGACGAAACGTTTCAACCGGACCATGCTACTAATGATCATTGACGAGTTCCCCGGTTACGAAAGGCCCATGCCGGAAGCGCTCAAGCGCAAGATGTCAGCAATACGTACGTCCTACGGCAAATTCACGATGAAGATAATGATCTCGTATCTCACACTGGTCTTGTTTGAAATACCAGCCACGGCTATGGTGCCGCTGACGGCCGCCAGTCTCACCGACGTCAAACTAGGTTCACAAAGCACGCAAATGGTGGTCCTATGGTTCCCAGGCGACACAACTCAGGTGAATCTACTACAAAAATTAATTTTTTACATATTTTTATTTACTATTGTTTGCATTTAAACAGCGTTTAAGTGTTCAGTATGATTTATAGCACAACTAAATTTAAAAAAAGGCATATGGCAATGGTATTTTAATGGGTAGGTATATGGAGATATAAAAGGGTAAAATCGCATTGCCAAAAATCCATAAACGAATTTATATCCTATAGTTCATTATTTTTACGAAAAAAAACTTTTGGTTAAACCAGGTATTAATGAGACATATTTATTAATATCAAATATTTAACCATACGATTTTAAACTGGAACGAATACAATAATTTAATTTAGTTGAAAATAAATCATTTTTATTTAGATAAAGATAAACAAATGACATTAGTGTTTAAAACAAATAAATAAATTGTAGGTAGTTTTACCGATTCGGACAAAAGCAATTTAATTGCATTTTATTTTGATAAACATAGGACAATTTACCGACTACTGGCAGTCATTAACTAATTATTTAGGTTTTTCTATACCTGACAATTAGCTTTCATAACATCCAAAGAAGGAATCCTAAAATTTATAACATATGCATGAAATATTTGAAAAATACATTTATAACTATATTATCTAAATAGTAGTTGATGAATTGTCTCAAAAACAGTTCACCGTAATGTACCTGTTTGTACATAGTTATCGAGCTTTACATAATTTTTTTTTCATATTATATTTATATATCATAGGAAATACCTATTTTTCCATAAAAAATTTATGACTAATTCATTATTAGCAGTATTTTTTTTTCTTTTTGTAAATATTTTTATTTTTGTTTCTTATAATAACTCATCTAGCATTTTTCATAAGTTCTGTGACAATCGTTAAATGTAAAACGTAAAATTATTAAATGTCGTGCTAAATTGAATAATCATACCATTTATCCCTATACCTTATCACAGAGGTTCCCAAACTGTGCACCACGGTGTGTTATCGGAGGAGTCGCGGCTGTGCCTCGCTATATTTATGTGAAACTGGGTTTTCGGCGGTCGCTGTGATAAAAAACAAACATCGATCAAAAATCAATGTGGAAAAGGAAATGAGAGTAGCAGTATCAAGTTTTATCCAAGATTTGAAAAGCTATGTAGAGATGTCCAGGCTCATCCATCTCACTAATTCAATTGTTTTCTAAAAATAAACTAAGTCTAATTTACTTTACCTAATAACATTAAAATTAAATAATTCGGTATATAATTATATAAAATAAATATTTCCATATTATCTATTGAAATTTAAACATGTTTGTTACTTTATATATTTTATTTAAAAAAAGTCATAAATTTTACTAAGGGCGCCACGAATAAGAAAAATTTGGGAACCTCTGACTTACACTTGATACGAAGAATCGTAAAATATAATACAATAAATTAGCTTTTACATATAATGTATATACATATAATTGAATTTTTATAGAGGAATAGGTACATCATAAAAACAAAACATTTTTACAATTTTTATATTTACCGATTTTCAGAATTTTATTCTCAGCAACATTTGTTCTTGGTAAATAAATTACAATAAATATTCTTTCATCATAAATATTCCTAAAACTTAACTACCTATCTAATATCCTGACTTTCAATAATTGCAATATTATATAATAGGTTGAATTAATATTGACATGCGAAAATATTTGTATTTTTAAATGTTATTATATAAATATATATATAATACAAACTGACCCGGCAAACGTTGTTTTGCCATATAAATTATATCTAATGAATATTTTGGTATTCAAATAAAAAATAATTAAATTATTGTAAGTGAGAGGGAATGTCGTATACTGGTATATGACTGAGATGAATGGAGCACTGTGAATGATGACGGCCCATAAATATAACAAAACACCAAATATTCTCACCGCCCATAAAATAAATTTGTCAAAATGTATATGGTTCGTTTGGCATTGGTAGCAATGAACCCACTCTATGATAAACTTGACCTTTGATTTTGAATGTTGAATTAAATTGTTGACCATTTGCAGCATTATTTTTAACTACAGTAAAACTCGCTTAAGACGCTCTCGCTTAAGACGCTCTCGCTTAAGACGCTTTCCCGCATAACACGCTGTTTTTAGTCGGTCCCTAGACATTTCCTATACTAGTCAATGTAAAAATCACCTGTTAAGACGCTCAGTTTTTCTCTGTCTAATCGGGTAAAACGCTCTTTTTTTCAGCAGATTACGATAAATTTTAGTAGTTTTGTGAAAATAAAAATAGAATTTTTAGTACTATACGTGTTCTTATCATTTTATTTTATCGCTATACCTATTTTATCATTACTTATTATAACAGTTTTACTGTATTTCATCGTCTACTCCTACAATAACTACTGGTTTGCAACATTTATCGGAAATTCGGAAAGTATTATCCTGTGTTGAAAATTCCGAAGAAATGTTAGGTTGTCTTAATAAAATTGAAAACTTTCTTGCTGAAACACATTGTCAGAACCTTAAACAATCAAAAATAGATCATTTTTTTAATAAACAATAATAAAATATGTATGTAATAATAATATTTTTTTAAATTAAATTCAGTAGCACAAAAATATAAGTATGTATGTATATTGTAATTATAATTAATTTATAAGTGTATTTCTCATTAAATTATGTTTAATAATAAAAAATAAACTTAATATTTCAACCACATCATTTTGTTTCATTCCCGCATAAGACGCTTTCCCGCATAAGACGTTTTAGAGAGCTGGTCCCTTAAAGAGCGTCTTAAGCGAGTTTTACTGTATTTCTGTTGCTCCGAACGATGTCATTTGGAAACATAAATTGAATGTTCGAATTGACTTCAGGAACAGGTTAGAATCTGGATCCGTACCGATACTGTTCAATGGTTCAGGTGGTGTTTCAATTTCCGGTAGTTGCACTTTTCCTGATGCGCAACACATACCAGCTGGTTCATTTTTGAACTTAAGCGCATTACAATGCGTAACAAACATTGTGACACGTTTGTGGTGAGCCACCCTTTACACCTAGGGATATGAAAAATAGTTTACATCACTCTCTGAGACCTACTTAATATACACAACAGATTTCATGAAAATCAGTCCAGCCGTTTCGGAGAGTTTGGTAACAAACATTGTGAAACGAGATTTTTATATATTAGATAATAATATTGGATAAAAGTTCCACAATCAATTTAAAAATCAAATGTTTATAAATAAAAATTGTGATTATATACCTTTAATACGTTTAAATAGCTATACTAAAAACTTTTAAGATACCCTGTATTATAATTTCAAGCTTTTTGACCCAATGAAAATTTTTTTATTAACATTTAAAAAAAATTTTTAAAGTTATAAATAGCTCAAAAAGTGACAAAATTATAAAATGTATAAAAAATACTTACATAAATACTAAGTAAAAATTCCAAGCGTCTTTATACTATAATTTTCATTATTAAGTTCATGATGAAAACAAAATCGATTTTTTAGAATACCGGTTATGAACAAAAAATTACGATTTCTTTAATTCCCTCCTCTGATTATTTTTAAAAGGGAAATATTACTCGTATTTTTAACCTCTAAAAGTACTAAATAGATTTCATTATAACTATAAATTTCCCCCCTAAGTTCAAAGCACCAAAAAGTGATGACTGATGACAGACCGAAAAAACACAAACATCATTGAAAAAACAATTTACTCATTATTCTGTTCAGAATCTAAAATAAAACTATATAAATACGCAACACTAGTTTCTCTATTTTTATTAGTTTGCTGTGATTTCCAAAAAATAAAACAAATGACTCGAAATTTTCACTGAATATTCTAATATTTTTTAAATATAAAATAATTTTCAAAATATTTGTTAGATACTATTATTTGAGACTTTTATTCAATTTACGTTGATACAATTTTTTACTTAATTGAAGAGCTTACAAATTTTATAAAAATAGATTCATTTTAAATTACCTTACAGCAATTAAAAAAAGTAATTTGTCATTGTAAAGTCACATTTTTTTTTTTTAAATCAAATGTTGGTGTAATTTATTTATATTTTTCCGTTGTTTTATTTTCTAAAATATTAACAGAAAAACTTGAAACAGTCCGTTATTATTTAATAAAAACCTTTTTTTTTACATAAAGGTACACAATAAACAATAAAGTTGTCTTTTTTTATAGATTGTATAAATATATTGTGTTATTTTTAAAACAACACTATTGTTTTAGTTTAAATCAATCTTTTAAAAATATTTGAAAAGCTAAAAGCAAAATTTAAGGCATTCACAAATGTTTTGATATATATTTTTTTTAATTTATAGTTAAACTTACACAATTTCACAAAAACAAATATTGCCCTAATAGTGTTTATAAATGTATTGTTTTCGTTTCAATTTTTAATATTTATACGCTAAAATATCATTTTATGTGTATATTTCAAAGTAAAAGGTACTCATATTATTGTTCTTTTTATTTTCAATAGTTTTATCATTGTTAAAATTTAATTTCAGTAACATTCTCAGACTGCAGGTATAACAGCAGACTTATCTAGGTGCAATATGTCTACTCGTATAACATAACTATTGGTTATTACCTACCAATATTATTGATTTTTCAAGTACCTACCTTACAACATGCATATCATACATTTTGCAGATTAGGACATATGTGTTTTCGTTTGTGGCACAGATTTTGATCGTTATGATCGTAAAGTTCATCATAACCGGCATTATGTGTTCGTTTTCGTTTTTCGTCAATCAAATGATAACCGAGTTCCAGATACTGTCTGCCTACATTAAACATGCGATTGAAATCGTCGAGTACGATATCTCCACCGACAAAACCACCGAACAGAAACTTCTAGACCACGTGAAAAGCTGCGTAATGCTTCACCACCGGCTGATCGACTTCAAGGACCAACTGAACGAGAGCTACGGGTACATCATACTGCTGGAGCTCATGTTCAGCACGCTCTACTTCTGCCTGTCGGCGTTTAACATGATATTCGTGGGCAACAAGTTTGTTATAGCCAAAGGCCTGTTGACGCTCTCCAACTACCTGGCCGAGCTGTTCATATTCTGCATGTTCGGTAGCATGGTCGAGGACGCACACGTGGGTTTACTTAGGGCATCGTACTCGGCGGAGTGGTACACGCAGTCCGTGCGTTTCCGCCGGTCACTGATGATGATCATGTCCAGGACGCAAACGTCGTTACAGTTAACCATCGGCAAGGTGTTCATAGCAAATTTGCCACTATTCTTGTCCGTGCTCAAGGTCTCCTATTCAGGCGTCAACGCGCTCAGGGCGGCAAACGCCAAGTAGAGTCATTGGTTATACTATTATTATATCGCAGGGTTGTCCTCCTATAACCACTATACACGCATAAAAGGTATTTTTGACAAAAATCGATCTTAAATTTTTTATTTTTTATTCTCTCTTCGCCATAAGCTATGATTTACGCATTAGAATACTTTTCATTATATTATTATATTTTTTTTTTCTTATCTCCAGTTAGTATAGGCGTGTGCATTGAAAGCAACTGGTAATTTAAAGAAGGAAAATTATACTTTTAAAACTTTTACTTATGACCAAAGATCACACAAAATGGAAACGCCATCCCCACATCATATGCAACACTCCACAGAATATAAAATATACGATAATACCGTGCATACAAGTGTAACATATAACTTTTTAGAATATCAGTATAAAATGTATGTTGACACACATCATATATTTAACGACCTAAAAATACGTGTATACAAACAATTGGTGAGAAAAGAGTGTAAATATTATATTATTTTTCTCTTATCTTTTTCATTTAAAAAAATTTAATTTACCATAACTTTTTATCCATGTACAGTAAATATTTTTAGCATAGACTTTTTGGTTTGGACTTTATTTATACTCGTATTTTTATATTATGGTAAATATTATATTGAATACACCCGCAATCGAATTCAAATTATATTGAGATATTATATATATATCCATAGTATTATGTTATTGCAATTGTTACAAAGCTAACAAAATTAATGAGAAAATGAGAAATACAAATTTATTACTATTTTTTTGTTTTTATCAACGGTATTAACATAGTATATATATAAATATATTATTATATTATTTTACATAAAACATACAATATACTTGTAATATGATACTCAATAAAATTAATGCAATGAAACTAATAATACGTTTTGGATATGTGTTATGAGATATTGTAATGAAAATCAGTGGTGAAAGTCAAATCAATACGATTGTATATATTTTATAAATTTTTTGAAGGTAAAACGTAAACAAAATATTATTATAAAACAATAATATTTTAACGCCATACCTTACAAATTGCATAACCTATGAACTATACACTTTAATTCTTGTAATACTTTAACTAAATCAATATTGTATTCAATTTTAAATTATTAATTTTGATAATTAATTGCCTTTAATAATCATACTCAAAGGATAATATAATCTATAGGCTAAGCGGCTTAACTTTTTATGACAAAAATCAACTAAGGGATAAAGAAAATATTTTTATATTGAGAACAAGGATAATTGTCGACACCAGTCTATGAAATTTATCAAAAAAGTTACTAAATGTATAACAATAAATTTTATCAAGAGAGACTCGACTTTTAAGTCATCGGACACATCATCATAGATAAATCACGATCAACTTTACTATAGAGTATAGAGTATAGACTATAACTACATAATATTACGTTATTAACAATTCCTAAAAAAAAAAAATTAAATATTGAATGCAAAATAATAAATCTTCGACAATAACAAGCAGGATTATTTTATTAATAATTTTTTTTTTTTTTAGCTTTCTATACACTACAATATTATAGTTTATTTATAAACTATAAAAAAAAATAGTATATAAATAAACTATTATATTAAATATTTACAATATAAATGTACATGTTGTTCAATAATAGGTTGATTGTAAACAGATAAAAAAGACTTTCCCCTGTAGTAGTTTTGGACTGACTTTTCTATAGCTAATTTGAAAAATGTATGAATAAAAATAAGAACACTATTGAATATTAAAAATACAAATAGATGTTATATCAACGGTCCCAACAACAAATGGACATAAAAACATTAATACATTATTTAATTTTCTTAAAAGTATAAGAACCCTTTTGTATAATAAAACTTCTTACATTATCTATTAATAACAAAAGTAACTACGAATTTTTTAAAAAAAAAGCACTTAGTACAATGTCTTTTGACCATATAATGGCTCTAAATTTAAAATTCGTATAGTTTTAATAATAAATTAGGATAAGTTTTTTACTCGGTTATACTTTCAACAAAAGTAAAAACCACAATGCTTAGTGCCACTAAATAATACTTTTTTAATACTATAGAAGCCGTAATAATCAACATACATTTATAACCTATTCTTATTTATATAATAGGAAAAAAAAATAAAAATTTAAGGAAAAACGCAAATTTCTATACAAATAAAATTTCTGACAAAATAATTTTTTTTTTTTTTCATAAATGTAGATTAAAAATTATTTATTAGATAAAAATGCTTGAAAATTGTACACAAAACTGTTCATAAATTTTTGATTAGTGAATTAAAATTTTATAGCCACGATATTCTTTTTTATAAGCATTTGAAATCATAATTTTGACAAAATTCACAAAAATTGATAAAATTAATAAATTATTTCATAATTATTAGAAATTCATGAAAACTTTTCTTTTTGTATTTAAGTTTTTAAAATTATATATAAGATTCTTCATAAATAGTTCATATTAAAACTATAGAATATAAAAAAATGTATTAATACAATTATTTTTATAGATATTTTTAATTTCAATTTGAACGAAATTACTTATTAAACGATAAATAACGATATTTTAACTATTTTATTGTAATTTAAAATCACTATTTGTGGAAAGTCAAACTTTAATATATTTTATATAATTATGAATTTTTCTATACGCAATAACATTTTTGATTGATTTTAAAATATTATTTATTTATAGGTACTTAATATATATTTTTATTATTACGGTATTTACGGATAAATTTTGTGTTTTATAATTTGATACATAATAAATGTAATATTTTTGGAAAAAATATAAGTATATAATACTAAAATTAAAACAAATAACTTTAATAACTATATCAAAAAAACATATTACTCTGTGATATAGTCATATAGACAGACCATTTCAGTTCAGAATCGTTTTTTGTATACAATAATATGAATTATTTAATTTAAATTTAAGACACCTTTAATAGTGACTCACTCAACACCTATTGTACAACAGAGTGTAACCCACTTTTTTTTAATGTATCTATGTAAATCGCATCGCTGGTAAAATAATATGGACTATACGTCTATGTTTATTTAAAATCATAATTATAATTATAAACTAACAAACAATAAATATTTTCAAATACCTATTCAACTCGTATAGTAGTGATAAGTATAAAACAGATTACCGAAGCAATTTAATTTAGTTCAGTGGCTAGAATACTACCATCAATTTTTAAATTAACTAACATTAAATAATCAATAATATAATCAAATTCAATTTTTTTTTTTTAATAAAAAATTGTTTACAATATTTTAAATAATGTTGGGATAAAGCTTATGTATGCCTATGTATGAGGTACAGGAAATTTCTTTAATTTTAAAATTGAAATTATGTTAGATTTCATTTACAATATGGAAAAATTAGAAAATTTTAGAATAGTCTTATAAATGTGTGTTAAAAATATTTGATATTATTTATTCAGTTAATTTTTTAAAATAAAATAAAATAAGTTATTATATGTCATTTTCAGTGTTATTTTTTCAAGTAATTTTTTTATTACTTATATTATTCTTTAAGGTATTGTATACTTAGCCGGGTAGAACATCGGAAAGTAGTTGGTTTATTAAGTTGTCAAGTAAAATGATTTACCTACTATTTTAATTTCACTTAATTTTATTTCAGAATGATATATATATATATATATATATATATATTTTTTTTTTTTTAACACAAGTACAAATGAATGTGTGTTATCAGTTTAAAATATTATATTTATACTTATAATAAAGCTGAAAAATTTGTTTGTTTGAACACGTTAATCTCTAAAACTGCCAGTAAAAATGAAAAATTATTTTAGCATTTAATAGTTTAGTTCTTGAAGAAAGTTATAGGATATTTAACAACACCTTACGACCTTTAGAAAACGAACAAAAAGAAAAAAGTAGCTAAAACAAAATAATAGTGTTGGTGGGCGATGCAACGTGATAATTTGGAGACCGATTATATCCACGATGTCAGCTAATAATGAAAAAAGTTTTTAAAAGTTCTTTATAAGAGGTAGTATTTTTTACGGACATCTAAGTGCACGGAAACAGCTTTAAAGATACAAAAAGCACGTAATGTCAAATGTAAATGACGAATATTAAATAACGAATTGAACAACATTTGGATCACATAAAAAGCGTAATTTTAATGAGGAATGAAACGCATGAAAATAGTCAATATTTTAACAATTAATAATTTTAACAAAATATCTGAATTTTTTATATTTTTATAAGTGTTAGTTGATTTAAAAACGTGTATTATAATATTAAATTATGAATTTCGTGTACTAGATTATAATATTTAAGTAAATAATAAAACATCCTAAATAAAATAGTATTTAAACCTGTGTCAATCTTTATTAACTTTAAGAAGTTCTTATCAATTTATGCTTCATTTTTTAATCAATACAAATTATATCTAAGGTATAAAATTATAGAAAAAAATATTCACCATAAGGCTATTATTTTTAATACATAATGTTGTTTTAAAAATCAAAATATTGACTAATTGATATTCCTTACAATATACATACCTGCAATAGTATTTTTTAATTGGTAACATACTGTAAAATGATGTAACACTGATAAGTGATAACATAGTTTGGTGTTGGCCATCTCATGTCTTACCGGCTTTCATAATATCTGCAGTGTTCAACGTACATTCTTTAAGTTGTGTTTTTTTAAATTTTCGTTCTAAAAATGTTTGGTAATGCATTAATACAAGTACTGATAAATATTCCTGATTTCATAAACACAATATCTGTCGTCTGTTAGTTTCGATAAGATTTTCTTAAAACGTTGTGTTAGCATTTTATTTTACTACATTAATAGTTTTACTGTAAGTTCGTAGGTTTGTTTTAACTTTTAATTTGAAGTATAGACCGTCAAAAATTACTAAGAATCACTAGTTACAAAAAAAAAAAATAAAAAAAATAGTCCTCGTAAAATATAAAAACTTACTACTCTTATAAATAGTAGTATATGAAAATTCTTGACATGTTTAAATCTTCAACATTAACAACTAAAGGTAAAATACTGTTTTTTTTTACATTTTTTTTTTTTTGTTAAATATGTGTGGGTATATAGGTATTATATTACAAAACTAGTCACTTTCTTTTTGATTAATTAAAAGTTCGGTACTTACAATAAATACAGTTTAAGATTCATTTGAAAATCATACTTCAAAAAAAATATAATATAAAAGAAGAACGATTAATAGATTAAATATACTGGCAATTATAAATATCTATTGAAAATTATATGACTACAATACTTAACTTTAAAATCGTTGTTAATATTTTTGCTGAAATAAGTTCTTAGAAAATTCGAAATATTTTATTATTTTTCAATATCGTTTTTCGTTTATTAAATTTATAAATATTATGTTTTTTAGGAAAGAAGTATTAAAATAGGAAAAATTATAATGCTCTAGAATCCAACTTTTTTAAATATGTCTCTGATTTCTAAATTATTTTTATCATTTTGCGAAAGCCAAATGGTAATTCAAGGATCTTTTTCACATTACGCGTGGTTTATAAATTCGTTTATATATATTTACGTTTTATAAACATAGAATACCCATGAATACATAAAAACTGCAATATTGTGTCGTATCATTTTTCCTAACGACGATCTTTATCAATATATAGACGAATAATGAGAGGAAGTCTTAAAACCGCTCTTATACAATAGGTAAGCTGACTGTAGATTTCCCTTTTTCGTTTTTCCCGTCAAACCTGCTGTATGAATTCAATATCTATCATAATGTATTATTATTCGTAAATATATATTATAACAATAATTCAAAAGTAATAGGACATTAAATAGACAATATATCTATGTACAAAAAAATTATAAACATATTTTTTATTATTAATTAATATTGTTCTTTTGTTAGTATATTACTACAACATTTGTAATAGTTAAAAAAAAAAATAACCTTATGGAGAATTGCGGTTTGCTAGTTGGAGATTTTAATTTATTATTAAACCGAAAAAATACTATCGAAATCTGAATAGCATTAATACAAATATATTTTAAATATTTGTGAAGTAAAAAAAACATAAAATATGAAATTATTGAACAACAAATAAAATATTTGCAGTTTTTCAAGAATTAGCAAAATACGCATTTTAAATTCGTCATTGTATAATATAGAAAATGGATATTTATTTTGGTTTGCTATAAATATTTAAACGCGTATAGAAAAATATGTAACTCCAAGTGCCTAAAACTTCTGAGTTCTAATTGTAGTAATACAATTCAAGGAGTTTTCTGTTACCATCATTATTGTTACATTTATTATATTTTAAAACAAAATATTTTATTAAAAAAATGATGTTAATAAAAAACTTTAATTGTAGATGTTGCGTTTTTAAAACGTTGATACTGTTTTTTATGTAAAAGATTAAACTTATATTTAAAATCTATGATATCGTTTACTATCATAATATCTAAACTACTATTTTTCTAAGAATTTATTCCATTACATTTTATGCTGAAACCGGTGGTTAATAGAAGTTATATTTGAAATATTTTTGGTACTTGTAACTTGTAACTGTCACGAACTATAACATCTAGTCCAATAATGAATATAAATTTAAACTTATTAGATGCATTAAAACTTTACTTTTCATTTGAGATTCTAATGAGTTTACACTAAAATTTAAACTTGCACTTTGAATATTCTAAAATATTCAATATTAATTTTGTTTAGGTAAACATTTTTGTTAACTATACTTTACTTAAGAAAATTAATTAAAGTTTATTTTTGTTTGAATGAATTAATATTTTTTTATTTTTTATTTCTATGCAGTGGTAGGCATTTTTGAAGGAGTACAAATTAAAAAACTAATTCTTCAGCCTCGTTGATTATAAACTGCAAAAAAAAAAATAATATTGATTAACATATATTTTGAGAGTGAAACCCTTTTTCATAGCTCTAAATTATTAATTTCAAATATATTATAGTTATTATACTCACATAAAACCAAAATGCTAACTTGAAAAATAATTTCATTATCTTAATAAATATGACAAATTATCGTATAAATTGCGACGGTTGAAACTTAGATTAAAGTTATAAATTGAAAATTTTAATTTCATTAAGTAGTATCTTATTTTTATTAGGTAGTTGGAAATGAAATTGTAGATAAATAAGTTAAATTAGTCATTCTTTCACTAGGCATACGATTTATGGACATCACATCGTAAACCAATATGAAAAATGTTTTAAAAAAAAACCCTTTTCTTATTGCAAAAAATATTAACAGTCAATCAACAGAGTTAAGTTAAATCATTCGATCATAAGATGAAATAGAAATCCAAATTTTAGCATTGCAAATGAAAAAAAATTAAATCCAGTTAGAATTGGACATACTAGATTAAAACACGAATTTTTGATGAACAAAAGCAACCCTACTGTATATTAATCTTCTATTCTCTCGCACTACTTACCCTAAAAATTTAACATATGTTTAACGAATGAATACAAAGATTATACAGAGAAACTTAAATAAGTCATATTACTGCTGAGAATTTAGGTCCAGGCTCCACCAATGAATGAATAACCATTCAATTTTTCAAACAAACATAAACATTAGATAATCTATAATAATAAATTATTATTTATTAATATAATTTATATAATCTCTACTATCTTGTCACACAAAAACAAATCCTATGATAAATACAAGTAGGTAACTATACTTAAATCTGTTAATATTGTATAGAACATCTATAACAATTGTATATCATTTAAACACATCATGATAAACTAAGTATTTAAATTTGTTATGTCATATGTATGTATATATATATATATTATATTAAAGCGAAATTTTATTTATGAGCAATAATAATATGAAAAGAATATATTGTTAAATATTTATGTTGGCTAATGGATACTCGATATAAGACTAACAAATTGAATAATATTATACTTATATTTATTTGAAGTAACACATGTTACATAATTTTATTAGTACCTACCTACATAAATTCTTCAGTAATAATTGAAAAATTGTTTTAATTTTAAAATTAATACTTATTTAAAAAAAAAAAAATTGTAATTTTTACGCTAAAAGTAAATTTGGATTTATTTAGTTATTTATAATCACTATTCAAAAAATTTTTTCAGTTGTTTAATACCTATTTTATAAGTTAATAGTTAATACACTAAGCCAAATGAGTAGCTACATTTTTGATAATGGAACTTAAACATAAAATAAATAATCAATATTTACCCGATTTCACTGTTGTTTCTGTGAAAAGTATTCAAACAGAAACTTACCCTTTATAAAATATCAAAAGGAATTTGAAATTTACAATGATAAATTACTAAAATATACAAACTGTAAATAAACGTTAAAATAATATTATTTATAATGTATGAATTTTTCACTTTTATTTGATTAATTATTTGCTCTTTTATTTCAAGTCAAAACTTTTAGTATTTTTTTAGTATTTTGGTATGTTATTAGTCTAGACAAACATCATAAAATCAATCATTTATCAATTTAGAAATGAAAACCAATTAAATAAACCATTATAAATTATTGTAATAACACTGCGTGTATATTATGAATTTAAAAAATTCTATAGAGATACGCACTTTTTATTTGATTCTGACAAAAAAACAAATTAAAATCTTATAGAATTATAAATACTTCAATATATTATTATCATCAACATTTATATTTATCTTACGTTAGTAAAACTTAAGATAGCCAAAAATAGATTTCCTTTTAGAACCATCAACAATGTATTTACAAGTTATTGTAATAAATAATTATTATTACATGGATATTATCACATTATAAATTAAAACAAGTTCTTATAACTAAAAATAATTTATAAATTTATATATTTTTAATTTTTTAATCATACTATAAATTAAGTACATATTAATAAGTTTTGATTTAAAAGTCGTCCACTTATTTCAAATTGAAATTATACGTCTGAATATTTGATTGAAATTTACCATAAAAAATTTTAATCAAACAATATTAATACATTATAATATTTACAATATCCATTAAATCATTACATAAATGATGTTTTGACGTAAAAGTCGTTTAGTGTCCACTTATTTTAATTTGACATTACACGTTTGAATATTTCATTGGAATTTTTCATAAAATATATGAAACAAAATACAAAGAAATAGTCATTAAAAATCTCTTTGATGTAATTCTCATAACAGTCCTGTCAAAATTAATTGTATAATAATACCAAATTATACGTATACTATTTTATTGATAATTTTTAATGTATATGACGAATATATATAAAAAAAATAAGTTTCTTCTCCAGAACTTTTAAGAACAGTTATTATGAAAACAGTGTTAAAACCATGGATTACATTAATGTATTATTGTCGTTTTTAACCACACATATAATATCTGCAAGTCAATCTAACAATAATATTGTTGCTCAATATAAATTAATGGAACAATTTTTAACGGTCAAAAATCTAGACACTGCTCTTTTGTACACATGTTGGTCACCGTCAGGTAATAAATAAGATTAATTTGGTTATAATGATGTATTATTGTAATTTTCGTAGTTTAATTTCTATCATACAATAGATCAAATAAAACATATGAAAAAATTCAATGAAAAAAAAATTATGGTTACATATCGCAATAAAGCAGATTTTTATGGAAATTTCAGTCGGGATGATTTGTTCACAATAACAGTGTACTCTCCTTTGCTAGGAATAATCGTCGATTGGTCATGTAATGATGACCTATTATTCAAGGTATAATTAATATACATTTATTGGTTTAGCAATATTGTATATAATGAAATAATTGTTTTTCAAATCAAAAATATAATATTCATCCAAAATTAAAAACATGATTCAAAAATAAATGTATTTTTTTTTATCTTAATCATAAAATAATAATAACAATAAATTATTAATGGCATATCACATGATTGTAAGGTAAAATAATTTTTAAAACATTGGTATAAGAATTAATTTTGGCAGTAAATTCAATTCTTTTTGTTTTAACCGATATTATTTTGTTTAGGTACATAAAATATATTATTTATAGCTACTTCAAAATATTTACTGAAAATTAAAATGTGATATTTCCGTAAACTAGATAACTTAAGATAAAATAACTTTCAATAAAAAAAGTTTAACACCATGATACGTATAACATATATAACACACTCTTTCGTATATATATATTTCAAAAACTATTAAGCTTAAGTAACTTTTCTTTTTATAACAACGTAGGTATTTGTTGAACTTTTTTTGGTATCCAGCCAAAACAACAAAAAATAGATAGTAAAAGAAAAAAAATAGCAAATTAAAAATATCGAAAAAATATTTAACAAAAATGAAAAGCGGAAGAAAATATATTAAACGAATGGGAAAAACTATAAATAACAACTTAACATATTTCTTGTATTTATATTTTTTATTATTTATTCTTTAAGAAGATAATGGGCCCCACTAAACGAATTCATACTACCAGTTATCAGTTAATTACAGTAGTGTATGATAACTGTCTCTACAATATTTTATTAAATTTATATTTGAATTTAATATAATTTATAATCCAATATTTACTATTTTATGGTGCATCGCATATTATGATCCAACATTATGGAGATTAATTGATATGTTGAAAAATCAGCATTATTTAGAATAGATATTATATAAAACAGGAAAATTTCATTATCGGACAAAAACATGTTATCAAAAAAAAAAAAAAATGAATTACTGAAAATACTTATATAATATCACTTTTTGTCTTTCAATACTCATGATAATATAAGTTATTTAAAAAGCATCGTTCATAACCTAAGCCTGCCTATGTAAAATTTGTAACAAGAATAAAATTTGTAGTCATTTATATCTAAAAAAAGTATAAAAATAAGTGTTATAGGAAATATTCGATTAAAAACCATTTACTTTACCATGTAACACAAAACCACAGTATTTTTCTAAAAGTGTAAAGTATGTTTCTTGACATCTTTCACAGGACGTTTTTACAGTTTTTGACTGTTCATTTATCGCACAGCAAAAATATTTACAATATTAAACACAATATCGCACATTTCATTTACACAAATGATTTTGTATAAACTTATGGTGTTTTTCAATCCTTTTCATAAAAACTAAAATAATTGTTTCAAGTAATAAAAGAATCTAAATTATTTAAACAAATATTGGTACTTGTTTAAACAAATTTATTTATATCTATTGTTTTCTACCATAAAAATGTGTTGTACATACATTACATTTTTTAAGAAATACTACACGGTATAAATTAATGTCATTTAGGTGACATTACCGCTTAAAATTTTAAAATTCCCTTAAAAAAAAAAAGTCCTATAAATGATAATTCTCAAAAATATTTTGAAGCATTTTGAACATAATAATTAATACACATAAATAAGTTATATTTTCGAGTTTGTGTTAGTTTTTTTCTATGTATGTCAATAATACATTTTTTTAAAACTCTGTTAATTAAATAAAAAAGTTTTTCATAAGGAATTTATAAATTAAATTAAAAAAAATACTCAGTAACAATATTATTTTATAAGCGTTTAATGTTAGAATTTTGACAAAATAGGTCAAAATCGCAAAAATTTACAAATTATTTTGTAATTGAAAATTCTTAAAAGTCTTAATATTTATACCTTATGAAAATTGTATACAAGATTTTCCACAAACTATTCAGTATTGAAAAAAAAATGTTAAATTAAATTCCACAAAAAAATTGAATTTTAACGATTTAGGCTATTTATGCGCAATACGATGATCTATCATAATAATTTTATATTTTAATAATAATCAAAATTTAAGTTTTTGTGTAACTTTTTCTTTTTTATTTTTAATTAAATAGATTTATTTTTTATTTCCGAGTTTTTTAATTAGATATATTTTTTATTTAAATTAAACTTAGTTATTGTTAATCAATAATAAATATATTTATCAATTATTAGTATAAATCAAATATTATAAGTTTAAATATTTTAATTATATGTAATTCAGACTTTTGATAGAGTATTGCACGACAGTTTCCTCTACAAATTTAAAAAAATTCTCCCTGCTCTTTATTATCTTATTTTAAAGTCTTATCTTGACAATCAAACTTTTTCAGTTTGAATGAACAATAGCTATATGGAAAACTTCTCTATTATTGCCGACATCCCTCAAGGAAATGACATTGCGCCTTTTCTTTACTCCGTCCTCGCACATGACATCCCGAAATCTAGATACCGACGACACAACAATTTTGATCACAAATAACAATCCCCATTCAATGTCTGATATGTTACAAAATCATCTAAATATGATCCAGATCTATTCTAAAGATCGAAAATAAAAATAAATAATTCTCCCATATTACCTTTTAATTAAGACCAAGTGAGTGTCCTCCAGTCTCATTTAATAATAAGTAATAACATAATTCTAACAACCTCTGCAGTCAAATTCTTGGGTTTAACGTTTGACAAATGACTAATTTAGGCTGAACATCTTAAAAACAAAAAGAAATCTGTAAACTCTAGACTAAATGTTACCCATTATATATTATAAATAATTAAATTGTTGATGTTAAGTTTTCAGAAAGTTGGTTATGGAACTCAAGTTATCAGTGGCTCATGGTGATGAGCAAAATATCAAATGATAACATTATTAACATTCAAAGTTTTTTAACATCGAAAAATATTAACCTCACTATCAACAGTGAAATTTTATTAGCATATCCTAATGTGATGGATGGCACTATTATTAATTGGCGTATTTTTGACATTTATCGTACTGCTTTTGAACCAAGAGGAAAACTAATGATTGATGTTGTAAATAAAACTTTTGGTATGTGGGGAAACCGATTATGGAAATTTGATAAAAGATCAAATTTAGAAAATGTAACATTAAATGTTGTTACTGTAGTAAGTATGGCTTTAAATTTCCAAAAATAATTGGCCATTATTTATTTAATGAAGTTTTAACTTATACAATATACTTGGCACTTACACATGGAATAGGAATACATATACGTCTTTTTCAGGAGAAAATACATTTAAATGTTTTACTTAAAATACAGATATTTTAAACAGAATATAGTAAACTAATAAAATATTTCAAATTATTAAAACAATTAAAATAATAAATAAAATTAAAATATAGTCTGTGAAATAACTCGTCAATCGTCATATTATATGAACTAATTTTAACGTGATTAAAAGGGTCTTAAAATATGTTAAACGATATTACATCCATAGTTACCTAACGTAGATGTAATAACTCCAGCATAACTTTTATCACTGTATATGTTTATATTGATATTACCATATTCATATATTTAATTTTATGATGTAAAAAATTGATTTTCTTTCAATGCAAATAATATTTTTGAGAATGGTACATTTTTAAATTCTCAGGATAATAGTTACACTTTCTAATAATATAATGATTTTCAAAACTCACTAATAACTCTGAATACAACTGTACTATAATATAGTTAAGATATGAACGTTTCAAACTTCTCGCGTTGGTTCAAAGTACCAGACTAGAGTATCTATACAATAATTGGATTACAAACTAAATGATTACAGAATAACATAATAGTATAATCAATTGTATAAAGTATATACCACATCAGGGGTGGTCAATCTACGGCTCTTATCACAGACTCATAATATGGCTAGTATATTATCGTAAGATATGAACATTTTTAGAAAAAAATCATTTTCAATATGAATTTATGAATTTATGTGTTTTAAGAAGTATAATATTTTATTAAATTTCAATTTATAAAAAAAATATACAAAAAAAAAAAATAGTGTTTTTGATACAATATTAAAATATGTATTTATTTTTATTTTTAATTATTAATTAATATCATATATTGTTTGGCATTTTATACATTTTATTACAATATTTATATCTAATCATCTTCTTTACGATAATCATGTACATACATTAATAAGAACTTTTTTTTCATTTTGGCTCTTCCATATTTATTAATATATTGGGCGGCTCGCAAGTCTATTCTTGCTGATCACCCCTTCATAGAAATGTAATAACTGAAATCAATATAATGCTATTACTAAATGTAAAAAAAGCGATTATGTTACTTAAGTACAAAGTTCCAAAGTGTTTTAATAATCTGAATTAATGTGTAGACTATAGTGACTAGAATTCGCAAGAAAAGGTAGCAACTTTCTGAAAAAAAGGTACCATCTCATTTACACTTTTCACGTTACGTTACGTTATACGTCTAGAGAGCTTGAATAAAAATCAATATCGAGAAATAAGGGACTCGGATCCTCCATGTATTTAATGTATCATAATTTATCTTCACTTTTTTGTTCAAGTTCAATAACTTACGTGAATTTTGGACAGTTTTAATAATAAGTAAATATTATTTATATTAATGTATACTTACAGTTTTGATACATTAAATGTCATATCTTATTACCAAAATTTAAATAAAATGTAAATGTTAAGGTACAATATTTGATTTAATTTAAACAGTCTGTATAATGGATCAAAAAGAAACAAAATGTTAAAGACATTTTTTATTATTATTATTTAATTCTCTCGACAATAATATCATGTGAATTACTTCTATTAATTTATAGTGTATTTTTTAAAGACCCAAATGAAAGATAAAAAGTTATGTATAATATTATTACAATACTTAAGTAATCTAACAGGTTAATAACTATATACTGTACTATTAAAGTGAATAAAATAATGTGAATCTATAAGTTTTAAAATTAGAAAGATTAAAAAAAAAAAAGAAGAAAAATATATAATTAAATTAATTTAAATCACGCGGGGACGTGCACGCTTGAGTCGGTGTATTGAGGGTGGGTCACTTGGTGTGTAAAATCGTGCGCTAATAGCAGAATGTCAGCGGTCGAAAAAATTCTTTGTTAAATATTTGAAATACTCAGTTATAAAAGATATCCCGAAATATTTGTAGAGAACTGCAATATAAATAAACAGTATGGTGGATACAATGACATTTGATATTATTCTCGAAATTTTTGATTAAAAACTTGTATTTTGTTTATATGAATCTTTGCAATTAGGGACTACATTTATTAATAGCATGACCGTTTTCAAACAAAAACGTACCCTTCTCTTTTCGCCGATTCACTTTTCAGCCAAATTTAAAAAAACACCGATTCCCTTTTCAACCAAAACAAAATTGTATATAATACATGTAAAAAAATAAAATAATTAGTACATAATTTTTATAAAATTAGGGCAATTATATAATAATATAGTTTTGAAAATAATTAAAAGTATACAATGCATAAAATGTTGTAAAATAAAATGTAGACAATTATTTAAAATATAAGAATATCTATATATTAACGTTACTTTTATGTTAATATGTTACAGCATGTAATATGTATAATATTATATAAAAAAAATAAAATTTAAATCACATAAGTAGGTTTGTAACATATCAACATAAAAATGATGTTAATAAATAGATATTCTTATATTTTAAATAATTTTCCACATTTTATGCAACTTATACTTTTAATTATTTTAAAAATAATATAATTATACAATTTCCCTAATTTAAAAAAAACTTATATAGGTACCAATTTTATTATTTAATTTTTTACATAAATTACATAAAATTTTGTTTTGGTCAAAAAGGGAAGAGTACGATTTTGGTTAAATAAGGAATTGGTGTTTTTTTAAATTTAGTCGAAAAGTGAACCGGCTGAAAAGGGAAGGGTACATTTTTGGTCGAAAACGATCTCGCCCTTGTTAATCATACGCATAGTATTTTTGTGTAGAGTATGAGTAAAAATTGTAAAATAATAAAGTTATGTTAATATTTTAGAGCAACCCATACGGTGCCTTGGCTAAGAAAAATGGCACGGACATTAAACCATCTAGTGAGGAACTGATCAAATATTTAATGACGTTTAATTTGGATCGCTTGAACTCCGTGCAAAAATTTAGCTATGCCATAATGTATCCGTTGACGAGAATTTTATTAAACATGTCGTTAAGTATTATTATAGATATCATAATATATACTAAAAGTACTCCGACCTATAGTATTGCATTTAATATCTAAAAAACTGTTTTTCCTATATAAAATGTTATGTGTATGTTATACTAGATTAAAAATTGAAACGACAAATTCATGGGGTTACAAAGTTAATAACAAATGGGACGGAATAGTCGGAATGTTAATATCCGGAGAAGCTGATTTTTCTTTAAGTATAAATGCGTTGAGGTCTGAAAGATATGATGTCGTCGATTACTCGGCTATTTCCTCTTGGAAACACTCGTACGTAAAGTTACTCAACAGATAAATTAGTTTAACATATTATAACATAAAAACATTCGATGTTTATTTTGCGTTTTAAAAACTGAATCAAAAAATATTGTTAATTGGAATGCCTATTATACGTTTTTCTTTATTAAATACAAATTGTTTCTCAGACCTTGTTTCATTTTCCGTCATCCACGAACGTCCATGGCGTCAACGAACATATTTTTGCGTCCGTTCGAAACAACTGTTTGGCTATCAATAATATGTGTAATCATATTGTCTGGATTTGTTAATTATACAATCATGCATTATGAATCGAATCAAACGTTCTCGTTGAGAGAGTTAAGCGATATCGTCCTACTAAAAATCGGCACGTTGTGTCAACAAGGTATACTATAATGTACATAGTATTACAATTTATCGTATTATCCTGTTCTATTGTCTATGGATAATGATGTTCATGTATTATTATCCATTGCGCATACGTTTAAGTTATATTACATATTTTTTTTATCGTCGAAATGTATTTTTGCGGCAGGTTGTTTAATACGTATACATCTTGTTTTCAGGCACAGTCATGGAACCTACAAAACTCAGCAATAGGCTGATTGTACTTTTAATGTTCGTGTTCAGTTTGGTTATATATCAGTTTTATTCATCGAGTATTGTCTCCGGATTATTGCGCCCCACCGTAATTAATATCGATTCGGTTCAAAAACTTGAAGAAAGCGGATTAGACGTCGGCGTTGAAGATTTCAACATTATTACTAAATTGATTGAAGTACGCTAAATCATTTTAAATTGTAGGTACACTCTATCGTATTAAAATGTACATTTATTAGTATTGTGTAATTATGTTGTGTATAGTACCTGTACAGTGTATAATATTATTATGTTTGAACGCGTATGCGTAAAGGTATACGGGGAAATCAATCCGTTTTTTAAAAAAATTATCGACAAAAAAATTAAACCGAAATCAGAGTATCTATTGGCTAAAGATGGAGTACAAAAAATTAAAAAAGGTCACTACGCATTTTTAACCGATCCGGCGACTAGTTATTGGCTAATAAACGATATTTTCACCGAGAAGGAAAAATGCGATTTATCGGAATTGCCACTCCACAGGCCGGAAACCACAGGCTACTTGGTTCAGAAAAAATCTCCGTACAGAAAATTAATCAACTATGCGTAATATTACATTATTGTGAAGAATATTTCAACGGGAAATGTAAAAAAAAATTATCAATTTTTATACGTTATTTTTCAGAAATTCTATTCTATGGGAAACTGGTCTAATGCAAAGAGAACTCAGTATATGGCATGCTAAAAAACCTAAATGCACCGCTGGGAAAACTACAACTGAAGAATCTTTAGTTAGCGTAGAAATCAAAGACGTAGTATCACTCATAGCTTTTCTGGTCATTGGATTTATTAGTTCTCTCACTATTTTAATATTGGAAATAATTTTACATCACTATAAAACAAATACTGATAGAATTACGCAGAGACGTCACACTTCTTTGTAGAAAATTTAAGGATCACTTTAAGTATTAATTTTACGTAATTATGCGAGCCTCATTAGTATTTTATTTTTTTTTTTTAATTACACGGGCAAATTCCCAGTTAAAAGAAATAAATTTACATAAGATACATTATTATTTATTATGATGATTCTAATCATTAGAAATTATGCATTTACTACAATATATCTATTTAATATCAAATGTAACAACATTTAACTATTTACCTATGTAGGTAGTAGGTACCTCATCTATAAGTTATTGTTATTTCTTAATTTCTTATATTTTTTAGAATTTGTCTTTTGTATTTAATTATATAACATATACAATTAATTTTACTATGTATATTTTAGTATGCGATTAGTACTTTTATGCCGGTTTCAAAATGAACTCGCTCTATTTAAAAGTTTCTGATGAAAATATTTTATTTTTTATTTATGAAACAGTTAAAAGAACCTAGGTCCCTTATAATACCTTTTATAATAGTAAATGAACATTAAAAAAAAAAAACACAAAACAAAAATAAATAAATAATTATTACACAAAATAAATAGACAAAAATACATAGGTAGATACTTGAGGTTTACATAAAATGTGTACTTAAACGTCACAATTTCTTAAAAATAGCATAGCATAAAACTACCATGAGTGAATGAAAAAAAAGTCTAATGCAGAGAAGCTATTATTTTCTATATTTAACGTGCGAGGGAAAAACGAATCGGCACCAGAATTTTTACATATTGTGGAATAATAAATAATTCTTTACTTTTAAAGAAATATGACGGTACGCGAATACCTAATTTTTCCAATAAATAAGGACAATCAAGATTTTTATTTATAAATAATACATCTGCTAATTGTCTTCTAAAGGACAGTGAGTCTAGAAAAATTGAATACTGCACTGTTCCAAAAGATTCTTTAAATATGGGGATATTATTAATTAATACAACTATAATTAAAAATTTGTAATGCACAACTTCAAGAAATTAATGAACCAAATTCTAAGTAAGAATGTACAAGAGAAAAATACAAATGCTTCAAGTAATATACATTTTTAAATTGTTGAGTACCTATTTCTATCAATGAAACAAAGCATCTTGTAGGATTTATTTAATGTTGTCTACTAAATAATTTTAATTAACAAATCATGTTCAAAATAAATACCTAGATCTTTTATAACATAAACTCTGTTTAGTTCATTATTGTAGATTTTATATTTAAACTTAATTGGATTTTTAGAGCGAGTCAGGGAAAACCCTGATATTTAGTAATGTTTAGGGGTAAGTTATTATAGTGTTACACCAGGCAAAAAGTAAATCTAAGTTATTCTGTAAAAGTTCAGTCTTCAATAGTATTAATTGGACAACTAAGTTTAACATCGTCAGCGTAAAGCAAGATTTTTATGGGATTTTTAAATAATTGAGGTAGATCTTTAATGAAAATGTAATAACACAATAAAGGGGAAGCTAACGTATAAATATAAAAATATTAAAATGATGCGATGTAAGTTATAAGTATGATGTGGCCGGACTGACACAAGGGACACAAGCCTTGTATGTAAGTCCGGTATTAATAAATATTGGGTATGCTTGTTCTCGTGTTATTACCTTCCTCCCGTTCTTCGGAGGGTTCTCGAGATCGTGATTCAAGAATGTGATCAAATACACCATTACACAAATTAGATAGTAACATAACCTGTACTAACAATTAGTATTTTAGACATGCACCTTACCTGATTCGCCGCAGTGAATACTTATAATACGTTCCTCGGAGAAAGGTATAAGGTGACACAAGTTACGATACGATTTAAGGAAAACTTATGTTTAAATAAGAAAAACAACACTGATTTGAATTAGAAAAAGAAAGAAGTCCAGTTGTCGCTCGCAGTCTTGTGTGTATGTCGTATGGTGGTTTTGGGAAAAAACTCCTGCTCGCTTGTCTGGTGCGCCCGCACTCGTAATTTTTGTCGGTGCTCATGCACTCGATAGTTTGGCCGGTGCTCATGCACTCGTGGCTTGGCTGGTGCTCGTGCACTGCCGGGAGAAGACCTGGTCGAGCCAGCCAGAGTCGCAGGCCATGCCATCATAAAAAAAGGACTCAGCGTTTTTTCGAAGAAATAGTCTTTCTTCTATACGACAGAGAGCTTCATTGTACCATGGCCCGCCTCCGCTGGCTAACAAAATTGGTTCACACGCTTTTCGAGATATTGTCACAACTCGTGTGTCAATTCCTTTGTGATCATATAAGTTGTTTTCTTTCGTCAGTGGCAAAAGGATGTTTGTAGGGTTTAATCTGCGTGCGACAACTTGACCGTTAATTTATTCACTGCACATGAATTGCGTCCCAAAATCCCTTTTTCACATGAATTGCGTCCCAAAGATATTTAACGACTACACGAATTGCGTCCCGACCATATTTAACGACTACACGAATTGCGTCCCGACCATATTTAACGATTGCACGAATTGCGTCCCAACTTAAAAACATTATTTTCCTTCCCATTTCATACAGACTTAGGACTGTCGATAGCAAATTATGACTACCGGTAGGTTAAAAATATCGATTTTTATCGTTGGTATGCAATTAGAAGTAAGTAAAATGAAAATGTGTAGGTTTAAATTATAAGAATGTAATATATAATAATTTAAATAAACAATAATAAAAAAAAATTATAAATATAAAATTAAAAAACTGGTAAAAACTTGAATGATACCTTCTTAATATAATCAAGGCGGGTTAATTGTCCACTTTCATATTTTGCCATGTTTTGTCTTAAATAATCTTCTTTTTCACATACCATCATACGTCTGTTTTTAATTACATGAATACTTCGTTGTTTAATATAAGTTTCTTTTTGTACATTTTTTAAAACATCTATAAATTGGAATATATTTGGGTGTGCTGAGTAAAACATACTATTAAACTTGGAGTGGAAGGCTTCACAACTATTCGTAGTTCGAATTATAGAACATGAATACATTGCCCACACAGAAGGCGGAAAGTCACAATCAGGCTTAATGTATGTATTTAATATATAATCGGAGAATTGCTGTACTTTTTCATCTTCGGGTAAAATTGATACAATAAGGCCGGACGCAAATCGTGTAGTCGTTTAGATTAAGACGGACGCAATTCGTATACCCACTTATCAATTTTTTTATTTCGGGACGCAATTCGTGTGTAGCCAATTTATTTAATTGAATTTTATGTATATGTAATAAACAATGATATGTGAGCATATCATTACAAAAATTTAAAACAATAAAGGAATTAAATAAGAACCTAGAGGGACACAGGAAGATACAGAAAACTCATGTGAAGTAAAAAAAGATACTTTAACAATCTGAAAACGGTTAGAGAGATAAGATGATAACTGAAATAGAAATGTTCCACTAAAACGTCTAAAACCAAATGAATTTAAGGTAATTTCCTGTTATACGAGACTACCTTGTTTTTCGACAACATCACAATCCTCTTATCTAAGACTACCCAAATAGTAATTTCCTGTTATACGAGACTACGGCTATTTTCGCGACTACCACAATTAGCTGAACGATATCCTTAGGCTATGTTTTAGTGTCGCAAATACATTGTATAAATATAAAATAATGAATTTTTTTTATTGATATTTATTAATTCAATAATTCAATGATTTCGATGAATATATTGATAAAATATTTAAAAAAAATTAGATTAAAAAATGGAATAATAAGAAATACTTAAATTTTGTAGTTCCTCAAAGTGAAGCACATACTCAAAATGTAGAACAGTGGTTTTTAACGGGGGCGGTACCGCCCCCTTGGGGGCATTTCGGTCTCTCTGAGGGGCGATAGTTTTGAAGGGGGCGTTGAGGGGGCGGTGAGCTTTTCCAAACTTGGAGATGTAAAATAATACAATTTATTATTATTATATAACAACATTACCAATAATTGAACGTGAAATCAGAATAGTTGTAATTGCGACAATTTCGTACGCTATGCAACGGCATACGGCATGTTATCTAATCGCATTTTACATTTATTAATTAAACTTTAATTAATAATGTTATACTATACTGATGAATAAATAAATATAATTATATATATATATTTATAAGAAGAAAATTTGATTTTGCACGAAGGGGGGGGGGCGTTAACGATTAGTTATTATGATAAAGGGGGCGCTGAACTAAAAAAGGTTAAGAACCACTGGTGTAGAACGTCTCTGGGGATCAGCAGAATGGCAGAACAAAAAACATCGTGGCACAGCGCGTCATCATCTAAAATCATACTTAGCGGAATTCATGTGGAGACAAAACCTAAAAGAAAATCAAGGAAGTAAATTCACAAAAATTTTAAAAACAATAAAAACTCAATTACACTAATATTATTTAATTTTTTTTAAGCATATATATAATATATTTCGTTACCTATGTGACCATCATTATTTATTTATTTTTTATTTTACAAATAAACAGCGGTCGTCGCGATAACGGAGGTAGTCTTAGGTGGTAATCGCGATAATAGCCGTAATCTCGTATAACAGGAAAGTACCGAATTTAATTTGTGTGAAAGAAAATCATAATTTACTTTATCGAACGCTTCTTAAAAGTCTGTATATATAGCATCAATTTGCTGGCAATTTTCAAATTATTGTAGAATCTACGTTTAGTATCATAAATTCATAAAACTTAAAAAATAAGGGAGAATAGAATGTTTTCATCGAAAACCATGTTGAAATAAACTTATGTAATTAGATAATAATTTAATAAGTTTCTTAGTAATTAAAGCTTCAAAAATTTTAAACATAGGTAAATGAAAATGTTGATATTGGTTTGTAATTACGTACATTATTTTAATCGCCTAATTTCAAAATTGGTCTAATAAAAGATTTTTTCCGAGAATCGGGAAAGACTCCACTAAACAACGATATATTAAATAAATAATGTAAAATTTCATATTCCAAAATGTGCCAAGTACTGAGATTAAGATTTATATTATTTAAAATTTCAAAATCGTTTAAATTTATATCAAAATTATCAACATTAAAACCAAGGAGAAATAATTGGCGAAAAGTTTTGTAGAATTCGAGAAATGAAGTACCTAACATTATTTAAAAAGACAGATGTAGGAATATTAAATTAATTCTATCTTAATGAAAGAATAAACTTCCAAAATTATTTTAAGTTGTTGTTAATGTTATTTTTAATTGTTATAATGTAGGTAATTTGCTTGAACTACTTGTGACAAATTTTAACATTTTCTTCAAAGTTCGAAAAAATAAAAATAATCATTATCTTACGAATATGTTAATTTAAATTTTTTATATGCTATCTTTTACAAATTAATACGATTTCTTAAGGGAGGATTAGATCAGAAAATTGTATGTATGTTGATAACTTGGATTAATTTTAATCTTTGGTGCGTAAATCTCAAAGGAGTAGAAAATAAGTTCATAAGACTTATTAACGGTACTTTCTAAGCTTTGATTATGAAAATTTGTTGTAAAATTGAATTGCGATAAAAATTTACTTAATTCATCAAAATTACAAATATTAAAATTAAATATAATAAAAATAAGATACTTATCCATGGTTTCTGGAGTTTCAGTTAATAAATTCTAAGGAAGGATAATAAGCATCAAATAGAGGGATTAAAGAAATACCAACGCGTATACTATTGACTTGGCAATTAGAAAAAATTAAAACTAGGATATTATGATAAAAATTAAAAATATCATTCAATGGATGAGATCCAGCAAGCTTATAAAACTATTTTTAATAACTTCATAAATAGGTTTAAATATTAAACTATTATTTTTTAACCACAAACCTGAAACTAAACTAAAATCTCCAATAATTAAAACTTTTAAACTAGAGTATGATAATCTAATATTTTCATCTAATTCCCAAAATACACATTAATATGTGAACTTGAAGGAATATAAATACAAACCAATCATAAATAATAATTCTTAAATTTTTGAACTGTATAAAATACAATATAGAACAGCACGGTTCTCAACCTTTTTTTCGTTCCGTACCCCTAAGTTTATTATTTTGCTAGATTGTACCCCTCATTATAATTTTGAAGCTTTTTCACATAACTACTTTTAAAATATTTAAATAAAAAATAACAAAAATTCTATGTTACATTCTATACTCTATATCTAATAAATACTTAAGTTGACGGTTAAGTTTTAATTTGTGACACAAATTTTCATTTTTAATAACATGGGTATCATGAATATTTTCGAAATGAATTATTTTAAATAAACATATTCAACATTTTCCGCCATTAGCCAATTTTTTTCACGTACCCCTTGAGATCATGTCGCGTACCTTAGGTTGAGAACCGCTGGTATAAAGTAAGAGTATACAATAGACATTACCAGTTAATTGTTAATTAGGATATTAGGTATAAAAAATATTAAAACTAATCAATAAGATAAGATAACTTAATTGAATTAATATTTTTAAAAATACTAATTTAATAAGATTTTACACACGTTAATTGTTTGTCATTTAAACATTGATGAATCAATTTTGATATACAAGACACATAGAACGATAACTTTATACGATACACAAAAATAGCTAACAAAAAATCATTTTCAGTAGGGAACCGAACCAAAAAAATTGTAGGAAATCTTACCAGATTGAACTGATGATCTTGTAAACTTACAAGATATGGTCAACTTATGTTTTTGCGTTGAGGTGATCAAATAAGTCCGATCATTCTCTGTGACTTACTGAAAATATTCTATGACAAGTACTAAGTGGTGTATTGGTAAATATATTTATGGGTATACGCACTATCAAAATATGTATAATGTATATTCAACCTAAATTTTTTTTATCACTCCGCTCGAATATTTTTTTCTCGCTAATCATTGCGCTAGAAAAAATTAATTCAATCCCTTATATCATATTTATAACTATTAACTTCTAAATTCTAATATATTACTATAAAATTAAAGACCGGTTACGTTAAGTATCAATATTCGCTAGTTCGGCAAACATTATTGTTATCATATATTACATATTTTTGTTTTAAAATTGTGTCATCACAATATTCAAAATTCAAAACAATAAACGATTTTTAAATTAAATTGTTTTTGAGTATTATTACTATTTATAGTTTAATAATAAATTTATAAATAAGTAAATCTCAACCTATACCCATTATTACAGTAACAATAATTTATAAGTAAATGTATAAATTAAAATAAATAAGCCATTCAATAGGCTTGTGACTGATAAACACTTAAGACGCTACACTAGTCATTTTTAGCGGTAAAAACTTGTCCGTGAAAACAAATGGCATCAAAAAGTGGTTTTAGAGTAAAACTACCTATTATTATGTGATTAAAAAAACACAATACCACAAGAAATACATTTGCTGGGCGTTATAAAATGCATGATGCAGATTGAAAACCATGGGTTGTGTCCATACTCCATATTATTATTATATATTTTTCAAAATGTTATTTAATAAATTTATTTTAAAATACATTAGATATAGCGTATAGGTACTGATAAATAAGATAAATAATTCCTTAAAACATCATAAAAATTTTTTCCTATGAACTATAAAATAAGTTTTATTTGGCTTTCTAGTTATTTTAGGAACGTATACCTAAAATATTTTACGTTGGGTATACGCCGAAAATCTGCTTACGAATATACGGCGTATACCTACGTATCCATACCAATACTCCATTACAAGTACTACGCTGTACCTTAAAATCATCAGTAGGTTTTTTAATAAATAGAAAATAATTTTGCCATTTATCATTAAAATGATAGTCTTTTTAGTGGCTAAGTCACCGTAAAAAAATAAACTAAATAAATACGTACAAAACTGTTGATAGATTTCACAATCGCACACCAACAATACTGTCGACATATAAATGTATACTGGCGGTCAGAGACTATTTTGGAGCATTAACTAATAAACCTATAGGTATATTATAATATTATCTTTTGTAATTGAAATTCTCGAAATTCAAAAATTATAGCACGGGCTTTCCCCAACTGTAAATGTAAAAATGTAATCAGATGTCACAGAAGATAACACTCATATTATTATGACGCAAAATAAAACAAAGCTCACTATAATGTACATAAAATATTAAAACTACATATATTAAATATTATTATACAAAATTAATGGATAATTCCAATATCATAAATATTGAGTACTCATAAATAAACAATAACTAAAAAGTCATGTTTAATTATTAAAAAAAAAAAAATATATAACAATAAACATAACATTTTTTTATAAGCTTAAGGTAACAGTTTTATATCTTGTTCACACACAATTGAAATTCCTCTAAAAAAAAAAACAAATTTAATTTAATTAAAAACTCAAAAAATATCTATATAATTGATGTACTTGAAATTAACATAAACTTACTCATTATTTCTTTTCACCTCATAATATGTATCAACCATATCTCTGGCAGACAATTTATGTAAGAAATTAGCATCATGAGTAATGATGAGTAATTGGAATGATTTTTGAGCGCTGCGACGTGTTATAATTCTTTAAAAAAAAAATTAAGTAATTAATATTTAAATTATGAACCAAATAATATTGTACTTATATATTTGACATACTCTGATAATGTATCAGCTAAGCTTTGAATATTAGATTCATCTAAATTTGTAGTAGGCTCATCTAGTGCAAGTATACCACAATTTTTACTGAAAGTTTCTGCTAATGCCATTCTTACAATTAGGCATGCCAAAACCTAAAATATAAAAAATAAAAATCACACATACAAAATTAAAAATATGTTCACTTTTACTTTTTGGCCTGCACTGCATCTTCCTCGCATATCCAATTCAACATCGTTTTTTATTTGCACGACTCTATAGTTAAAGGTTCTTTTCTTAACTAAACAATAAATATTATACTCAGTTTATAATAATTTTCAAAAGAATAATTAATGTATACATATTACATATTACTAAAATGTATCATTACTTGTATCTGTTTGTATTGGTTTATCATCAGAAGATGTCTTTATTTTAATATAATCAATGTCATTGCCATTATAAATATCCCTCCACAATTTTTTAATAATAGTATTAATACTTTGCATTCTTTCTTTATGAAACCGATTCATTGCCCATTCAAGAGCTTTATTATACTTCATCAAATCTTTTTCAACACGAAATAATATTTCTAATTGTACTTTTTCATGTAAATATATATCTTCAGCATTTTTGTAATGAATAGCTGACAACTCTTCTGTGATTTGCATAATAATATTTTCCAATTCTTGTTTTCTACCAAGAGATTTATTTTTCTAAAAATATAAAAAGTTAGATATTTGTAGATTATTCAATAGAAAACAGAATAATATTACCTCAACTAATAAACTTTCAACTTTTTTTCTATTAGCATCTTTTTCATCAATCAATCTGCTCACATCCATAGATCCAATATCTTCATGAAGTTTGTTTGTTTTAGATAAACATTCAATTTCTTCTTTTAATTTTAATCTTAATTTTTTGTTATTTTCTAAGTCTATTTTTTTAATCTAAAAGAACAATTTTTGGTAAAATAATGTAAAAAATTTTTTTTTAGATTTTAAGTGAAGTTATAAATGTATTAAATTTACAAGAATATGTTTTGTTTTACTTTTCATCATCGCATTTTAATTAGTAAAAATGGTTTAGTTATCAACTTTAAAGGTAGTTTCTATTAGCAAATTGAATTTAGTTGATACTTAAGGGAGGGTCAAATGTAAAATTCCTAGCACTTTTCAAAATAACTGAATTAAACTAAAAAAAAATTAAAACAGGAATATTTTTTATACAAAACTAGTTTTTTACAAAATTATTATTATTTTTTTTTTTTGGCATAACTTAAAAATAAATAACCATATATTCGAAATTTTCATAAAATGTTAATATTATTGTTTAAAATATTTTAATTCTCTTTTAGCTATGGAATAAAAATAATTATTATGTAAAAAATTTAATATTTTAATAAAATATCAAAAATGCATATTACTCGTATTCACAAATATTTTTATAAGCATATCAAATTTAAATTTTGACTAATCTACAAACATTCAATAGTCTATTTGTTTAAATTTACCTATTTATTAAATATTTAGTTAATATTAATATTCCACTAAATATCAATAAAATTTTAACAAAAATTAGGTAAAATAATATGAATAATTAATAAATGCATAAAAAAATATTCTGGAAACCAAACTTTCCTCAAAAGTTTTATAAATTTTACTTAATTAATTGGTATACAATGTTATACAAAATATAAGAGTAATACAGAAAAAAACATTTTTTTAGAAAATATTAATTATGCATAATGTGCATGTAAAAATCAATAAAATATGCACTCTCCCCTAAAATTAACAAAATATACAAAAAATATATTTTCAATTATTAAACTTTCTTTGTATAACTCAGATTTCTATTTTAGTCTTTTACAAATTAAAAGCACATAAAACTCCCACAACTTTCAAGCCCTAGTTATACATACTGAATCATGGCCAAAATATGGGTAATGACTTGTATAATATAATAAATAATTCTATTCTTTTAATTTATATTAAATTTAATGATAATATTAAAAGTAAAAAATAAAAATTACCTCTTGACTGGCATTATATTCATTAATGGAATCAATCTGTTTTTGTAAGTTTTTCTGTTCTTCAACAAAATTCATTTTTTGTTTAGTGAGATTATCCAATAATTCATTTGTTTCCTTAATGCGCAAAGTCCATTCTTTTTTTTCATAATTATCAATTGAAGACTGCAAGTTATTTATTTCTTGAATTTTTTTTTCAAGCATGATTATCTGAAAATATTTAAATTATTATAATGAGAAAATTTTATAATTTATGATAAGACGCAATTACTTCTCTTCTACTATTTTCGATTTGTCTACTTTGCTGTTTTTTAGTTTGTTCAAAAGTATTAATATACATATTTAACTTTTCTTGTATTGGTTCTATTTTTTCTCTGGCATTGTCCAATTCTAAACTTAATGTTGCTTCAAGATTCTGTAAATCTTTCAATTTATCTATCACACTCTTTTCATCTTGCATTTTACTTTTTATATTTAATTCATCACTAGTTATTTTATTTTGTTGTGTTTGTAATTTATGTAAGGTTTCAGTATATTCATTTAATGCATGCTGTTTTTTTTCCAGAACATTGCAAATTTCATTTATAATATTTTTTAAAGCATTCTTTTCAGAAATTGTTTCTTGAAGATTTCTAATAGAACCAGATTCATTTATTTTTGTTGTTAAACGCTGTTCTTCTTTTAAATATCGTTTAACATCATTATCAAAACTATCAATCATTACTATATCAGACTGAATATTCTTTGCATTTATTTCATTAGTTTCTAGTTTTCCATTTTCATCTGATAATTTAGTAAGTTCATCACGACATTTTTTCAAGCTATTGCTTATACTTTCAAGTTCATTTCTAAAAAAAAATTTAACTGTAAAAATGTATAAATATGTAAAGAATATTAAATAGAATAGATTTACTTCAGATTAGGTATTTCTGTTTGTTTCAAAACTGATACTCGAGTATAAGTAGGTTTTAATTGTTGAAGTTTTGATTGCTTTTCTAAATGTATTTCTAATTGTGTAGTTGTTATTTCTAGTTCACTTGGAATTTTATGTACTCTCATATTTAACTGTAATAATAAGTTAATATTAATAAGTATACTTTAGACTTAAGTTTTCAGTTAAGTTAAATTTTAAAACTAACATCATTAATCAGTTCAGTCACTTCATCAACAGATCCAAAACATCGATGACACAATGGACAACTAGGATCCTGAGCTTCCAAATTTTTTATGTATCGTCTAAAAAGATGACCAGAAGTTGATACAGAACCTTTTTGAGCCTATAAGAATAATATACACATACATATATTTTTAAATTTAACTGTTAAACCAAAAACTAAATTAAAAACTAGTTATAACAAAACAAACACATCATAATGAACATTTTATAACTAACCTAGGAGTAATATTATGTTAAAATATTTAATGAGGGGTATTATTAGTCATCTTTTTGACTGACTTATTAAATGTAATCTTTTTAATGCTGAAAAGTTAGTTTATTTTTTACTTGATTATATAATATACATTTATTGTGCACTATACACGTGAAACTTTAAGAACCACCACAGTCATCCACCTTAATACTAGCAAATAAATAATAAATGTTAAAATTTTTTTTTCAAAAACCATCTAAAGCAGATAACGTATAAACTACACATGTATGAAAGGTATTGGGATTAACTAATTTTGTTGACTAATATAACATTATATAATTAAGTTAAAAATAAGTTAGGTTAAAAAGATTAACAATACCTCTCCCAGATTATTAGTAAATAAATTCAGTAATTTTTTTTTTTTTTATAAAAATTTTTAAAAATAAAATTATCACAGTAAAAACTAATTGTAAATTAATGAATTCAGATTATTAAAATAGCTACAAACAATATATTAATAAACAACTAAATTACTACTTACTTGCAATTCTTCCACTTTTTCATTAACTTCTTTTAATATTGTTTCATATTCTTGATCTTGACACATATCGCTTAGAGCATTCTCATCATTGGAAAGATCTTTTTGTTTTGTACGCAATTTTTCTTTAGTGTGGTTATAATTTGCTTCTAATGTAGTTAACTGTTTTTGTTTATCAGTTATACTTTTCCGATTGCATCTGATTGTATCAGACTAAATTTTAGAATAATTATATAATTTAGTGAATGTTTTAAATTGATTTAGTATAACTAAAGAAATATTAATATAGCAATACAAAACACTTGTCACTTACTAATTTATCTAAAAATGATGTAAACTCAAATTTGAGTTTTTCCTGTGGTATAAATCCCAGTAAATCTTTTAATACACTGTTCACTTTGTTTTTACTAAACAATAACAAAATACATTTTATGTTTTAATTAATTTTTAATCATTAAATACTTCTACTTACAGTATTTTTAGTTTATTTTCTATTCCAGTCTTATTCGATATAACAGCGTCAAGTTCTGCTTGTACAGTACTTAATAACTGCAATTTTTGTATTTCTTTTTCAATAACTTCAAATTTCATATTTTGTCTATAAATATTAAAGAAAACAAATACAAATTATAAATACTTTAATATAAATATTAAATAGTATTGAACATCTTTACTCATATCTTTCTGCCTTTTTTTTATTTATTTCTGTTTTCACATCATCAATATTAAAAGATCCCTTGAGCACATTTAGTTTTGTTTCAATATCATATTTTGATTCTTGTAAAGCTGACAACTTTTCAGCTGAATTTTTTACCTTAATATTATACATTAATCATAAAATTAATATTATTTAAAATTTATAAAACAAATTTAAATTACTTGTTCAAACTCTTTTTTTAATTTTTTAATTTCAGAAGTATTTTCCATGATTTGTTTTTCTTTGATTTTTATTTCTTGATCTAGTTTTGCTTTTTCTACTCTCATTGAATCAATGTTTAATTGCAACTTAGTTTCAATTTCTCTATGTTCTTTTTGAGTAGATTCTAATTTATCATTCATTGAATTTAAGCTGTTTGAAAGATTACTTATCACTTCAGTACGATTAAGTTCTGTTAAGTCTGGCACTACATGTATTAATTTTAGTAAAAAAATGTATTTATTATTATTTATTTTAAACTACAAAATAACATAATACTCACAATCAATCTTCATTGCATTGCCTAATTCAATTATTTTTACATTTTGTTTTTGTACATTATTTTGATTTTGTTTTTCTTCACTTTGATATCTTCCTAAATTTATTTGTTCTTTGCTTATATTTTCTTGTATATTATTTTCATTAGTAATTGCATCATTTTTTTGATAAATAAGTTTATACTTTTCTTTTTCTTTTTGACTATACAAAAATAACGTAAATAATTAAAAGTAATATCTTTAACGTAATACTTGTAAATAATATAATATTTAGGAATACATATTACAATGGTTAGAAAATATTGAAGTATTGCAATTAATACAAACTACAAATGCATAGAAAAATATAAGAGATTTAATATAATATTTACTTAATATATCTTATTTGTAGTTATAACTTTAAATAGCTTTATTATTTTAATATTTAATTTAAAATAATTTTTTTTAAAGTTACATGTGAATTAAATCTAAAATTATTTAATCACATTTCATTTGATAAATATTTATATTAAGTGACTCACAGCAAATTTTTATTAAAATTTTCTAATGCTTCATCTAGATCTGAGTCATTTCCTTTAAACTCTATCTTGATCAACAATTTTAAATCAGTTATAACTAATCTAATAGAATTCAAAGTTCCTTCTGAAGTTAATAATTTATTTTTTAAAGAAGAAAAATTTTCTTCTTTATACAAAATTTGTTTATATCTCTCATCAAGAGGCTTTAATTCTTTTTCAATATTTTTCATTTTTAGCTGTAGTTCATCTAAGCTACATTTTTTATTTTCAAGTGTAGCCCTTTTGTTACGTGCTTCTTCTCGAAATTTCCAAAAATTTTGTATTTTAATGTTGGTTGCCTTAATATCTAAAAATAATTATTTAAAAAAATTAAATAGTAAAATAAAGTACCAGCATAGTTTTAAAGTATAAATTAACAATCATATAGATCATTCAATGACAAACCATATAAATACAAAAGAGAAGTACAACTTCTAAAAACTATTTATAATAAGTTACTACACTACATTAGTAGAAGCTATTAAACACTTATAAAAATGGTCAACAGCAATCTTACCAAAAGAACAGAACCAAAAAAAAAAAAAAAAAAATTATCAGAAAATAACATTTTTTAACATGTTGACTGCCATATAATTGCCGGTGGTCACATAACTGCGCTAACATATGGGCCACACATAATTTTTATTGGAATTCCAAAAATGTTATCGTTAAAATTTTTAGAAATAATAGAAGAAAAATTAACAGTTTGTTTCACATATGAAAAAAATATTTTATAAAAGTGATAAAATATACCATTCGAAACTTATTTTTTTCCTCTACGCCATGCTTACACATACATAATAAAAACCAAGCGTTAAATACAGAACTTATAAAAAAATATATAAATATATGTAATTTTGGTATAGTCGACGGTCATAAAAATTACATTACATATTTTCATAAAATAACCACCGGCAATTATAAGGCAGTCAATGTGTTAATGTATGTATTGTGTACAGACTTAATAGACTTATTGTGTATTAGTCTATTCATACTATCTAATTTTATTTTATAACAGATCTTTGTTAGGTGGTTATATCACATATGTAAAATACGGTGATAAAAAACCTAAATAAAAATGTAACATCCTTTAAGTTAACAAAAAAATTAAGTCAAACATGAATCTTATTTATCTGGCCTTACATTGGAATCTCAATTTAACAGAACTTATTAAAGTTATATCTCACCTCCATTAATACCCTTTATTTCTGTTTGAATTTGTTTAATGCATTTTTCATATTTTCCAACATCAAATATTGAATCAAATTTTTCTTTTACCTTCTTGTCTTCATCTAAAGGCCTGTAAAAAGTGTTTGATTTTTAATTGTTTATGCATTAACTGCAAACAATGAAAGCATACCAACTAGAATCCTCTTGATGACAAAAAACGACATCTTTCAAAATAGATTTTGAAACACCTAAATAAGTACACATGACATCATCAACATCTGCACATTTGTGTGAAGTACTCTGGCCCTAAATTTGTATTTAACATAAATAATCAATGGTAAATATATAGAGAATATATACATCTTTATGCCCATTGTTGATTTAAAAGCTATCGCTAATTTATTTAAGTAGATCACAGTTAACCATTTTCCACAACCCCTCCCCCCTCATTATTTGTTTAGTATAGTCAATTTTATGGTATTTTCAGGTATATAAATGTACTTTTAAAATTGAAAAAGTCAACAATGGTGTTCTTAATCACTTTAAGAATAATTTTTATAAATTTTTCAATTTTTAATTAATGAGAATGCTTTATAAAAATGCTTCCCTTCTAAAAAAAAGATATTATTTTTTATTTATTACTCTAAAATAATCAATTTTTTTTTCTTGAAAATACTAACTTTTCTAGAAATTGTTTGATCAAGTGATTTTGTAGTGACAGTTGTTAACTTTTGAGTAGATTCTAAAGTCTTAGAAACCACCACGCGGGTATCTTTAGTATCATGAAATGATAGTTTTACTTTTCCTTTAACCTAGAATTCAGACAAATACAAAGAATTATTAAATAAATATGTATATATATATATATATATATATATGCAAATTACAGTATGATGATCTGATAGTTTAGGATCCCAAACAAAACCGCCTTGTTTTGTATTTTTGGGTAGATCTGAACATGTGATATATTTCAGACACTCAATTATAGTAGTTTTTCCACAACCATTTTGCCCCAAAATCAACGTCAGGGGTCTTTGGAATTTTAAAGTTTGTTTTTCATCTGGATGATAACTTCTAATACCTTGAATATCAATTGATTCTAATGTAGACATTTTCTAAAAATAAAAACATTTTCATTTTTTGTTAAAAATTAAATAATTCTTTTTCAATATTTTTATAACGCAAGATTCCAAAATTACATATAACTAGGTAAATGTGTTCTTTATTACTAGGTATGAAATTAAAATATGAACAAATAATATTCTAATTTTATTTAATAATCAAAGTTAATAAAAATCTAATATTTAAAATAATAAAAATGTAACAAATTGTTTATTTATGAATGATAAGTCATCATTTTTAAAAAAAAATGACTATGAAAACATGATCTGAGGCTGTAGATAGATATAGTTTACATTTGAAAGAATTTAAAATTTTATGACAATTGTGTAGGGCAATTAATAATTTACTTATTGTTAATTGCTAGAGCAGTTTTTATTATTTTTTGTAAGTTTAAATCCTATACACAAATAATCAATTTAAGTCATAATTTAAATATTATATTTTTTTTAATTTTAATTTTTTTTTTGTCATGCCTATTATGTACGTAGCTCAACATAATATTTTAGTGGTAAGGTACTTAGATTGAAGTGTGGGTAAGTGAGTATACATTTTTTTTAAATTTTATGAAATAATATAATTTACTTCAGTTTCACTGTAATCATGATTCAGTTTTAGTATCTAAATCATTATGGAGTTCTATAACTATATAAGATTGAAAATAAAATATTATCCATAAGTATGCAGACAGGAGAGGCAAGGGATTCTCCTACAAGGTTTTCCACCCCTGAGGTTTACCATCAAAATATTTACTATTTAAAAAAAATTAAACATTATGTGAACAAAATACTATAATATCCTACTATTATGTATAATTTTATATATTCTGATAAAACAACTTCAACAATGTTTACCAGTTTATTTTATGAAAATAATAGCTGCGTAATAGTGTTACACACCATAACTTTAAAACATTTAAATACATATTTGATAAAGCGATTTAAATGTCAGAAAATGTTAATTATTATATTTTCTAATTATAAAAAGGCCACATCACCAACTGTTATATTTTTATGTTTTAACTTGAAATCATAAAAATTATTATATAACTTTTATGGTTTAATATAACCACATCCATGATTTTGTATGAGGAATAATTTCAAAGATGTCTCACTTCAATTCTATAGTTGAAAAAAATTCAGGAGGCATGGAACCCCCGAAGCCCCAAGATACTGCAGTATTTTCTCCACTGATAAGTAGACCTACACACGCTTATGAAATTATAGATAATATAAGCTCTTCAAATTTAAGTGATTATAGAGAAAAAAAAGTTTGTTATATGATGTAAAACATGTATGAAAATTTAATAAAAATGTAAATTTATGAAACTATTTAACTCAAAAAAAAAACTACTAGTTCTCATGTAAAACATATACAACACTACTGAAATAATATATTGATGAAAAAAATTGTATTAGAGATTTGAATTAAGTTGTTGGTAGAATTTTGATTGAACCAGACTAATTATAGACCAATAACAAATAAAATGATCCAATAGACATAATTTCAAATGTTACAGACCTCACATTATAGATATAAAATATACTCATTACATTAGTTTTCCAGAGAAACAGCTTACAAATCTAGCATCAACGATGAATTAGATCTCGATACAATATAGGAGACCAGAACCACAAACATAATCATTAATCAGTACCTACTACTTACTCAATGGATACTTAAGACTAAACGATTTAACACTAGAGACTAAGTTGTAGTCACTCACTAAGTAGTAAAGACTAAAGAGTAAAGTTAATTAGTAATTACTAATTACTCAAACAGTCAAACGATTCTACCTTCGAATTTCAGTTACTTAGAAGTCTGGATGTCTGAAATCATGTTTAAGAAGATAGTGCCGGTATAGTTATATAGGTTATTCAGTGCTTATACCACGGTTGCTGCACTGTTAAGATATTATAATACCACAGATTATACGGTTAGGAGATTCTAAGGTTACCTTATTTAAGGTATAATAATATATTATTAAGGATTTTCGTTCATGGTAACTATTTTAATATTCTATCTATAACTGTGATTCTGGCGATCCTGCCAATATAATTCTGGATAGCATAGAAAATAGAAATATTAGAAATATATTTATTAATTTAGTTAGATTTTAAATGAAATACAATATTTACCTTTACTGATTGTTGAATCATTATGACTGCAATCATCAAATGACATTATTCCATTAAACTGAATATTATTACTGATCGATATGAGTATAATACTATATCATAATTCATAACTATAATTTAAATAATTAATTATTATAAAATACTTTTAATAATGCCGTATTGGGTTGCGCACTCATCTCAGAGATATTTGAAGAACAATTTTTAATTTCATTGGTTGATGGTATAGTAGCAAACTCTGGACACTTCACTTTAGGCTTTAGCCTATAACATAACATTTAATTAAATTTATCTTATAATTTAAAAGCAAAAAAAAATAACATAGGTACATATTTTGCTCTTGATATTTTGGTGAACGGAACAGCTTCTTTTTCAAGCAACCTTATTCTTTGAGATAACAAATAATACTATATTTAGTGATATTATTTGTGAGTAAATTTTTACAAACAAAATAAAACCACTTTTCCCTTATCCTTTCATTATTAGAAAATCTAAAGTAAATATACAAAATTAAAACATATAAGAGTTATTCTGTGTGTATACAATTTAAAAATTATATAGCTAACTGCTAAGTACTGAGAAGTTAGGAAGTTAATACTCAATATAGTAAATAGTAAATATAAAAGTCAATATACTTGTGAAATGTTATGTTTTTAGCATTTCTTTATTTTCCACAAATGAAACAGCTCGGCATATTAATTGAAAATACTTTGCACTGAGCTGATTGAGCACTGTTTATAATTGTTTCCAACAGTTTAACAATTAAGAGTTAATGTTTTTAAATAAACCTAAAAACGAAAATTAAAATTCATGTCACACGGTACTTACTAGTTACTTGTTATTAATAGTTATTATTAGAACCCGGATGTTTTATATGTGTGGAAGCTCCATGGCTCATGGGAGTAAGACATAAAAATGTAAACGATTTGTTATGCAAAGAATAGACAAAAAAGTTTTTGTTACATATTGTAAGTGAATATTTAAGGAATAACAGCATATTTGACAAATTTTGCATATTTAAACATATAATTTATAATGTAGAAAAGTACAAAAAAAGTAACTTTTTTTTCGATTTTTGTTTATTTTTTACTAATAAAAATTGATATTTAGGAATGTATTTACTGAATTCTAAAAATTTGTAATACTTTATAGTAAAAGCATTTAAAAAAATTCAAAACTATTTTGCACAAATAATTCTTTTAGGACCAATTTAAAGTATTGATTAAGTTTATTGGACTAATTTCAAGAGATGTTGAAAAAATAAAATTGAAACTACTAAAAAAATATACATCTTTTTTATAGTATTAGTTGAATTACACCGTGTATAGTTTATGCTTTCTCAAAATAACTGTAGATATTGACAAATAAAATTAAATTATGAATAATAGATCACTCGTAAAAGTATTTGGTACAACCTTGTAAAAAAAAATTGGAAAAATATTAAATAGTGTCGTCACAAAATTGGAACAATCAAAATACAATCCACCCTCCCCCTCTCCACAGGCAACAAAAATGAAAAATCGGGTGACGTGCTTACACTCAGGAAGGTATAGAACAGTGTTTCTCAAAGGATGTGCCGCGGCACAATGGTGTGCCATGAAATTTGAGAGGCGTGCCTCGAAAAGTTTAACTTTATATACATATATAAACCATTTATACTTGAAAAGTAGATAATATTTATCCAAAGTGTGCCGCGACTTATAATAACTATATAATTGTGTGCCGCGATAAAAAAAAGTTTGGGAATCACTGGTATAGAGTATAGACTATAGAATATTGCAAAAATATTTAAAATTATTTTGCAGGTTTTTTTTTTTGGTAATAATTAATATGTAAACAATATTTTTTCAACTTAATGTTTTTATACAAAATCACCTTAAAATTAAAAAATCCAATACCATATTGGTGTATGACATAAATATTATACTAAGCTCATTAATATTATTGTAATATTCGATAAGCATTATTCAAGAAAATAGTTGAAAATTTAAAAAACCTATATTTAGCCAAAAAAATAGACAACATTGATACCTATAAATATTCTATGAACATTAAAAATATCCACGGTTATTTGTTTTTAAATAACAACAAAAAAAAAAAACAAAATTGATTTTGTCAAAAACTGGTTACACATAGATTCTAGTATTTCTATAGTTTTTCTTATTTTTACCAATATTTTGAAAAATTTACTGAATTTTTTATTTTGATTTCTCAAGTATAAAATTTCAATTTTATGTCAGAAACCATTTCTTAAATTTTCATTTTGAAATATTTTTTCAACTATAAATTACGTACAGATGCAAATAAAAAAAAAAATTAAAAAAATACACACATTGTTGAATTTAAAATTAGATACTTTAAAATAATTATTATAAAGTTGTAAATAAATTTATTAAACACTTTACGAATTATAATTAAGTATGCAATTCAAAAATTCTAAAAATAAGAAAATAATATTGATACTATAGTAACGTCTTGTTATTATGCAAATAAAATTTATTTTTAAATAATTAATTGGTATGATAAATTATTCTCATAACAGCTGAAACCTGAGTCTGTACCTAATACCTATACAGTCAACGCAATTTACTCGATACTTCATTGAATTTTTTATAATTTTAAAAACTCTAAGTTAATTTAGTACTTAGTTAATATTATGAATAATTTTAAAATAATCTACCGAAGCAATATTTCGAGCACACTGTTAGACATTGTTATTGCTACTACTGCAGGCAATTATTGTCAATCATCCAATCCCAATAAATAGTAAGGTTCTAATAAAATACTAATTCATTTTAACAACAATATAACTTTCACATTTTTTTTCCACATAATTTGATATATTACATAACAAGTATTAAATAATATTTATGTATATTATTAAAATATATAGTTACACTAAATTATTCCAATATAATAAAATTGTAGGCTAAGGATATCAATTGACAATTATCAGCATCTGACAAAATATAATGTAGACGGATTTTACAGTGCCTTACCGTGCGGTGAAGGAAAGTTTTGGCACCCGTTCAAGATCTACAGTTTGTATTTACTATTTTATTTACTATTATATTATAAGTGTGTTCAGTGTTGCGTGTGTAGGTAGTAGGTACGCAACGATGTCTTTTAGAAAAATAAAATGAATATGAACTGAAGAACTTGAACGGATCCGTAAACTTTCCTTCACCGCACGACAATATACTGTAAAATCTGTCAACATTGTTTGTTGTCAGATGCTGATATTCTTCACCTGAAACTGTAACCTAATGTTTATATTTATATTATAACCATACGCATAAATATAGTATAATAATTTTTATGTAATACCTACACCGAATTAATAAAAAATAAAAAAATGTGAAAGTAATGCATTATTGTCAAAATTAATGTATAATGAAGTAGGTATACCTACATTCAACATTCTTATAAAAAAATTCTCGACTTAAATAAGTACCTCAGGTGAGATACATAAAATTGAAACCTTTCTATGTATCATTTTTTTTTTTATTATTATAAAATAAATATCAATCAACATTAAAGCAACCTCTATAGGTAAGTTACTACCTAGAAAATCGTTCTAACACAATTTCAACAAATTTTACTTATAACTCATTGAGAGAAGTAATTGTTATTAATCTTGTCCAGTGACACAAATTAGAGACTTAACCCCCCCCCCCCTAAAAAAACTCAAAGTCTCCTCAAAAAAGAATAATTTAATATATGTTTATTATTCTTAACAGCATTACAGCATTTAACAATACATGATAGTAAAATAATCATCAATTTTTGAAAGATGTTTCAAGTAGCTGTTACTCTTCCAGCAAGTAAGTAGAGCAACCCGTAAAAAATCGTTTTTTACTATGGACGTTTAAAAACATGATTATGTACTTGTATGAATGAAGATAGATTTAGTAATTTATATTGTATTTTAAATATAGAAAATGAAATTTGAATCAATAATGAAGACATATTAAATATTTTTGAAAAAAACTGAAAATCTTATACAATTATATTAAATATCTTTACCTATTTATTTAAATAAATGCATAATGTTCAAGTATTGCTTATTTTAATGACAAATCATTATAATTTTTTTTTTTTTTTTAATAAAATAAATAGGTTTATTTATAAAAAAAAATATTTTTAAATTTATAATATTATAATATTAATACTTAACACTTATAATACCTAATTTTTGATTTTTTGTTGTAATTAAAAAATTAATGACAATAGATAATCGAAATTATCACATAATACTTATATGATTATTTTCTATACATGATAAAATGTTCAATATTTTTAGTTTTATTTCTATAAATGTTGATAAAATTATTTTTTGCTAGGTCAAAATACTTGAAAACTTAATATATGATCCCACACAAGTTGTTCTTATAGATATGTAAAAATATTTTATGCTTGATAATTGTCCACTGACTAACAAGTCAAATACAAGTAAAATTTATAATAATAATAATAATACATATATTTATTGTACTATTTTTTTTTTTTTATTGTAACATAATTCAATTAATAGTTAATAATCACAAATTCAATGTTTAACTCAAAATATATTGACGTGCTTAAATAAATATTTTAAAACAAAATACACCTTGTGTATAAAAAAAAAGTGTGCAATGAAATATTATAAAAGTTATAAATACTGAAATTATTCATTAATATTGAACGCATT